CAATAAAATGATTGAAAAAGAAAATAATGAAAATTTTCAATATAAAAATAAAATATAAATATATGTATATATACATACATATATTTCAACAATATATATATATAATTAATAATTAAACTACTTACAATATTTTGTAATTTTTGTTCAATTTTATAATATGTTTATGTTAATTTAAAACGAAATTTCTCTTTGTTCTTTTTTATTAATTTTGGAGAAAATTTTTCAAATTTTAATTTTTCATATTTATATTTTTTAATTATATAATTTGATAATATAATAATTTATTATATTGATTATTTATAATTAAAAATAAATTAAATATAAAATATATTAAAGACATATATAAAATGTGATTTTACAGTAATATAATAATAAACAGAGCATTCCTCAAATAGTACCGTTAATTGGTAATTCTGTAATTTTTCGATGTTTTTCTTAAATTACAGAATTATGTATTAAAAAAAGTACATTTAAAATAAACAAGTAAAAAACATTTAAAATATTTAATTAAAAAAATAAAATCAATCAAATTAATTAATTTTTAACATGGCTTTTGTTTAATAATTTAACGGTCCTGTATTATTTTCAGCCCATTTATTTACAGAATGCTATTTGAGGTACGCTATTTCTTCTTATAAGAAATTTTGAAATATATAAGGCAAGCGAATTAAAATATAATGCAAAAATTTAATCGCAGCATTGCAAGGCAATTAAAATAAAAAAAAACTTGCATTGAGTATTCGTGAAAAAATCGAACAAAATAAGTGTGGTGAGTTTTTTTTTTAATAGAAAAAATAGTTATGTGTCAAATATATTAGCAAAAAGTGTAGCTACTTTTGTGAATTTAATTTCTAATTGAAAATATTTTAATTTAAAATATGCGTGTTTTTAAATATAGAGCAAATTTTAACCATTTCATTGTCATTATCAATATTATCAATACTAATCTATAATAGGCACCATACTATTAATTCCTTACAGCTAAGATCTATTCATTTTTCGATTTTATCCATCAAATCGACTTTTTCAAATACCTCTATTAGTTTTTGTTTTAAGTTTGCAAAACCAAATTTGTAAGTTCTTTGCAAAAAATTTTACATGCAAATTTTCTTCTTCATTTCAATTGTTTCATTCAATTTCATTGAACTTACTAGGAAATAAGATAAGAATTTAAAAATATATTACATGATACTTATAACGCATTAAAATCAAGTGGGTGGATATTTTTCTTCACTATATGAATATCCAAAGAAAATAAAAATTAATATAAAGATTTTTCTCTTTTAATTCTATTTTTGAATATTTTGCTTTTTTAATTTTAAAATTCAAAGAAATGTGATTGATTAATGTAATATTCAAAATGAATTAAAAAGATAATAAGTTTTTTTGCTGTTACTAAAAAAAAAATTTTTTTTTGTCTTCACTGAGAAATTTTATTAAAATTGAATTTACTTATTCAATCTATTCGAATATCGAAGAATTCGCTTGAATGAAAATCATTCTAATCATTGTTATTAAACATAAACTCAATTTCGATCGAAACAAATCCCTCCAAATGTTAAATTTTCTGTATACTATTCTAGTAAAGTAGAGTACTAGTTTCTGTATACTGTTCTAGTAAAGTAGAATACATATAACTTAATGAATCCAATTTCAATAATTCTAATTGTTTGAAATATAAAACTTTTTTGAGCTTGATTGACATTCTTATAAAAACTTTTCTATTTATTTCTCTCAATATTTCATACATTTGGAAGGTTGATAAAATACAAAGTAAAATCTCTATAAAATTCTTATCGCTTTATAGTAAACCTTTCCGACAATAATGAATAACAATAATCAATTCAATAAATTTTTTAGTGCAGATACTAGGACATTAGTATTAAATGTATACGAGAGTAAACAAGTTTAATTATTTAAAATTTTCAAATCCCTATCTCTAAAATCATAACGAGTCTCCTCATTGTTATTATTTAAGGTAATGCATGCTATTCCTTAAGGTAATATAATATTGAGTTAGAGTATGCAAAATTTGATTCAAATCACAACTTATCTATTCTTATTCACCCTTAGCCATCAGATAAGACTATTCTCGTATTGAAACTTATTGTGTAATAATCAAAAGTACTTATTGTGCAATAATATTCACATGCATAAACATATTTAATTATATTATATTATAATTATATTATAAATAAGATAATTAAATTAAATAAAAAATTGTTATTTAGAGAAGCTTTTTTTTACAAATTTACAATTGAAATTTAAAAAAAAAATAAAGCATTTTAATGACACAGTCATGCTTCGTAATGACTCTGGCATAACCTTAAATAATTTTAAATCTTTTATAATATGGTAACTCGCTTTATGAAATTCATTTTTTATTATTAAAATTTCGTTGTCCATAATTTCATATAATAGAGACTCTAGGATTTGTTTACACAATTATTTTTTTTTTTTGCTGGTTTAATGAAAATTTAATTCCCGCAATGATTAGGAATAGTTTAATATTTAAAATTATTATTAAAAAATACAATATTTCCAATAGAATTAAATTCAAATTATTTTTAAAAGTGAAAAAAAAAATTGCTGAATTAAAATTTCTAGTAGATTTGCCATGATTAACAAAACTCAGCGTTTTATGAAATTTCACAATTCTTGAAATGATATTGGGATTCATTTAGAATGTTATACTATATACATTATTTTAAAATGTTAATGCTATACATTAAGAAGTAGGATTATATAAGTTTCTTGGGATCAATGAGAAATAGCTAAATTGCTTTGTTTCTATATATAATTTTTTTGTTTAAACATTTCAATAATCAACCTATAAGCATCATAAATTTCTTTTGATTTGATAAACAAAAAATATTTCTCACAACATTAATTCCTCAATTCAAATCAAGTTCCAATCTATATTTCTGCACATTGTGGATGATATATTAATGGATTTTATCTCATTATAGGCGAAAATAATTAGAATATTTTAATTAGTTGCAAATTAATTGCAATTACAAGTATAATAAAACATTTTCCACACCCTATTACTGAGATCAAATATATTTTATTATCATTGAATAAAATTCATCAAATAATTATAATTATTTAATAATATTTACACATACTTAATATCGTAAAATTTTTAAAATGTAAAAATTACAAGATAATTTTGCATTGGTAATTACTTATGTGAATTTTAATTTCTTACTTACGCGTTTCAGTGTTTTACATGCAAATAATCTTAAAGAATTTAATAACGAATTGAAAATAAATATTTTCACTTTTTATATTTCAATTAGTTTCTTTTTTTAGCAATTCAATTTCGCAATAAGAATATTTCCAATTTAGTAGGAATAACCGATTCAGTCTACTTTTAAATTTTGATTGAAATATAAAATATTCACTAAAATTGAAAAAATTCGGAAACGTTGATATTGTAGCATTAAATTCAAATTTTATAAATTTTAAATATTATTACACCATTAACAAAATAAAATAAGTTACGTTTTGTGAAATGCATTTTGACCGTTTTGTCTTGGATTTACACTATTCGCTATCTAAACAATTTAAAATTGCAATAAATTTAACTAATCAACGAAATTTCAGATAAATTTTCTATCTGAATTTAAAATATGTATTTAAAAAATATATGGCACTAGGAAGATTTATAGACTATTATACTGTAATATTACTATAACAAGTAAATATGTGTAGCTTTAAATATTTAGCTATTTTAGTTTGATTAAAATATACTTTCATTTTTTTATAACTTTATAAGATAATGTCAAATTTTTTTTTAGCAAAACGTAAAATATTCAAGATACATTTTTACAAGAATAACAGATTTCTTAAGTACGAAAACTTTTCAACAAAATATAAATCACAACAATACTACTTAAAGTATACCGATATTATCTTATATAGAATAATATTAGGACAGCGACTTTGAAAATCCAAATATCAACTAAAATCATTTCGTAAATTCCTTCAAAAAATTTTGTTAAATACTTATGACATTAAATTCTAAAATTAGTCATAAGTACAGTCTTTATAAGTATAAAGAAATTTTAATTGTTCTTATGTTAGGTTAGTGTACGGGTATATATATATAATATTTTAATAATAAATTTTATAGCAATTATACTAAAAAAAAAAAAAACAAATCTAATTTTTGTATACAAAAGATATTTAAAAATAAAAATTTTTTAATTATCAAACTATAAGTAATAAAAATTATTCAAAATACATATTGTCATAAAGGTATATATATATACGTATATGTATGTACTGTCATAACACATTCCTCTACCATTATAATAAATTAATTTTTATTTTATAATTTTAAATAGTAAGTATATAAGTATAGTAATTAACACATAATATGATTTTATTGTTGAAGTACTTCAGTATATTAAAAATAAAAAATGAATAAAAAATACAAAATTTTTAAATTCGTGATTTTAAGTGTTTCATACAGCTATAAATATAAAATAAAACATGATTTTTCAAAAAACATAAAAAAAAATAAAATTATTAGATTTCTTTTTTAATTTCATTAAAACTAAATATAATTAGTGAGAGTTAATTAATTGTTTATATATTACAGTAAGTATATATACTTAATAATATTATACAAGAATGTAGTTAGGCACTTATAACTTGGTATGTGGGTATACTTAATTATATAAACATAAAAATATACAAAAATACAAGAATTAATTACACAAAACTGAAAACTAAAGAGAATATTATGTTTTTTATCAAATTACTATTTATAAATTTAGTTTACTTGAAAATATAAAAATAAAAAATTATTAAATTAAAAAAAGAATTTGATTTTTTTTTTTTGCTTTTGTTTTATATACAAAATAAGTGAAACTACAAAATATAATAATTAAAATTAAATAAGTGAAAAGAAAAACACACATAAAAATTAAAAATAAAAAATAATTATACTTAAATTAAATAAAAAAAAGTAAATAAAAAATGCTACTTACATGCGGCGATAAATATGTACCGTTGAGCATTTTTTTTTTTTGTATTCTCAAAAAAGAAAAAAAAAATAATTTATATATATATATGAAATAAAATTAAAATATATATGTATATATATATTTAGATTATAATATACAATATTATTATATAAGATATACTTGTATATAAAATATAAATATTTATATATTTTAATTTTTAATTACTTCAAGTGTTTATACTAATTATTTTTTACTTTTTTGGTCTTTTCTTGTTATTTATTTATTTTTTATTAAAACCCGAAATCCAATTTGTTTTCTTTTTTTCTTTATAATTATTAATTTATTATTTTATATATTAAAAACATTAATTATTTTTATCATTTTTTTTTTAATTTTTTTAATTAACTGATTTTTGTTTTTATTTTTTTTAGATTTTCTTTGTTTTAATATTATGTAATTGATTTTGTTATATAATATATTATATATTATTTTACTATTATATTTTAAAAATACACATATATTTTATTATATTTAGTATTTGTATTATGTATATAGAAATTTCATATAAAAAAAGGGAATAAAATTTGAGAAATTTTTTTAAGTAAACAAATTATTTAATTAAAAAAATAAGTATATATATTTTTTATAAAAATATTTTTATCAATTTATAAAATATATAATCATATAAAATTAAATTTTTTATTAATTAATATTAATAATTTTTATAATTGATGTTTTTTGAATTCAAATAAAAATTCAATTAATTAATAATAGATATATTTATTTTAGAAAGTAATTATATTATAATATCAAAAATATTCAAATAAAATAATGCTATAGAATAATATAAGAACATTATTATAAATACAATGTATACGTATAGCATATATTTATTCATATATAAGTGAGTATATCTATTTATAAACAATTTATACTTAATAAATTATATCAAAAATAAATCATTTTGTTTCACATAAGAATGTTTATATATTATATATCAATATAAATATATATTTCATATATTATGTAGAATATATTTTAATATTTCAAAAAAAAAAAAAAAATTCAAAATTTTGATCGATTTTTGTTTTGTTTGCTAGTTTTCTTTAAAGAATTTATTATTATATATTATGCTAAATTTTATTTTAAATTTAGGTAAATGTTTTTTTTTTTTATTTATAACTATTTAGTATATTTATAATCATATAATATATATAGTTAATATAGTATATTTTAATATTGAGACTATCAAAATAAATTTATTTAAGATATTTATATAATGTATATATATATGTATATATTATTATGTATATATATTTTATAGTATGTAATATTAAATAAAAAAAAAATAAACAATAGTAAAATAAATATATATATATATATACATTTATGTTTCTCAAGATAATAAATATATTAAAAACATAATTTTTTTTTTATAACATCTGTTCAAAAATAATATCAAAATTTATATTAGATACTTTTATTATATCAAAAATATAATTATACGTATGTATATTAAATTGTATATTTATATATAGATAACATGTAGTATATTTACTACTTACTTGAGATGAAAAAAAAGTTTAAATTTAAAACTATTAGTTATGTTTTTATTTCCTAAAACAAAAAAAAAAAATTAAAATTATAGTGAGACATGTGCGCCGGCCGGATGACAACACAAAAAAAATATATAAAGGAATAGAATTATTCTTTTTTTAGTTTATTTTGTAAATTTATATGACGTATAAGTATAAATCTAGTTTAAATATTTAAATATGTAAAATTATGCTCTTTAAGAAATATTTTACATTTATCATTTGTAATATTGAAATTCAAAGTGATTTGTTCTAAAATATTTTTTTTAAGATGTAGAAATGCAAAAAATTGGACAAAATTTCGTTAATTATTTCAGAAATTTAAAATTCTTTTAAAAATTAATAATCGAATCCCTTGTACCGAAATACTTAAATCTGAATAAATGTAAAATAAGTTTTAGAAATTTTCATTACATAACAATTAAGTATGGTGAATTAGAGATTTCAACCAAAAAATAAAATGTTTAAAATTATTAAATAAGTAAATTTATTTTTGCCTAAATAAAATAAATTGTGTCTCACACTATTAATTATTAAGCTTTTTATTAAATATAAATTTATTTGAAATATAATTTGTTCAATAAAAATTATGTAAAAATTTTGTCCGATAAAATTAATGAAACTCTTACAAAAAAAAAATTAAATTACATGAGTTTTTAATTGCTATTATAACTGTATAATAAATTGTACAAATAAATTTGTTGGTTTCGTATATAAAAAATGTAAATCCCGAAAAGTTAAACTTGGAAAATAATTACCTTAGTATTACTTAATAAAAATATATAACTTATTATGAAATATATGACTTGTATAAGAATTTTACAAAAAATAGTCACTCATTATATATTATAATTATTACATAATAACCATATTTTATATATTCTTTGTAATATGTACATTCAATTTTATTAATCAAAAACTAAAAAAAAAAAATGTGTCATAACCAATTGTGTATGAGAAAAAAAAATAAATAAGAAAATATATAAGTACTTAGTATATTTTAAAAATATACAATAAGAATAGATTAGAATTTAAAAAATATATATAAAATAAGTAATTAAAAAAATATTTGAGTTAAAAACAAGAAAAAATAAATAAGAAGTTCTTAAAATATTAAAAATAATATGAAATATAAATTAATTACAATAATTTCATTTTAAAAATCTAAAACATAATCAATATACAAAATCTAGGAAAAGAAAAGAAAATTAAGTAACAACCAATTAACCAAAAAAAAACAAAGGACACGATTTTATAAGTGGCACTTTACTATTTTTTTTAATCTCTTTTTCATATTTAAACTAACTAACAAAGAATTAAGTACTTAATGGTAAACCTGCTCATTAATTATAATTTTTTTATGGTCTAAACTAAATTATTATTTTAATTTTATTTGAAAAATTATAATTAAATGAAATATATAATTAAACTTAATAATTAAAATATAATTGAAAATAATAAAAAAAAAATAAAATAAATGTAGCAAATAAATCATATGCCGAATATAAAATGAATAATTAAATAGGTAAACCTAAGTATACTCAAATTATGTATATATATATATATATTTATATATATATACAAGTAATTAATTATTAATTACATGTGAATTTTTAATTTTTATTTTCTCACTATAATAACCAACAACAAAAAAATCAACAAAATATGTATTGAAAAAAAAAAAAAAACAAAAAATGAATTTAAACTATTTTTAAGTGTACATAATGAGTGTATGTACATATGTATGTATATTTATTTAAATATATAAAATATAAGTAATAAAAAGCCTCTTTTCTTCTAAATACAAAATTTTTCTTATTTTCTCATTTTTTTTTTTTGCTTTTTTTAATTATTATAAACATCAGAACGAACAAAACAGAAAAAATGAAATTAAAATCAAAATAAATTAAAAATATATTAAATAAAAACCTATTTGTAAATAAAATATTTTTAGAATTTGTGATTTATTTTATTTTTTTTTTTTTATTTTTTCTTTCTTTTTCAAATATTAAAATGTGTGATTATAAAATTTCTTTTCTTATTTAAATAATGGATTATATAATAAGTATATAATTTAACTAACAATGGAAATGTTAACTATTTTATATTATATATATATAAATAAGAAATAATATAATATTATGTAAGTAGTTAAGGTAGTATATAAGGTTTATATAATGTGTATAACAAATGAATGTGGTGTAAGTTCCTTTTAAAATTCAATTTAATATATAAGTAGGTATAATTGCAATAGCAAAAGGCACACTCTCTTCATTCTTATATTTTGTGATTAAGCAGGGTATTTTTCAAATTTATTTATTTTTCAAATAAGTTAACGTAATTAGATTTTTAATAAATTCATTCAAAAATCAAATAAAATAAAAAAATTGTATTGAATAAATAATAAAAGAATATTTTTTTTAAAATCAAAAATATCTAAATTGCCATTAAAATTATTAAGAATCAAAAATAATGAATTAAAATTGAATAAAACACAAAAAAAAAATAATGATGGTACTAAATAAAAATTACCGAATCAAGAAAAAATATAAATAAGTACAATAACAATATTTATATAAAACAACATAACTATTTTAAAAATGAATTAAATAAGAAGAAAAGAAAAAAATTAATAAAATAATATATTGTATAATTATGTATAAGTAAAAGTAAAAAGGTAGATACCCACTAAATGGAATCTAAATAAGATGCTTTATTATAAATGGGGTATAATGTATAATAAATTATGTATATATATGCATTATAAAAATAGCGATATGGGTAGGTGTATAAAAATATATAATATATATATATATTCTGTTCCTATATGTTAAATAGGTATACCATGATAAATATATAAAACTATAAAAAATGTGTGTTTTCTAAAAACAGAAGAAAAAAAATAAAAATTATGTATATATATATATAAGTATGTATAATAAATATGTGGGTATATATATATATATAATATTTAATATGGAAAAGACGAGAAAAAAAAAAGCCAGGACGAATAAAACGTCCTTGTGATATTATTTTTTTTTTTTTGTTTTCTTTTCAATTCCTACCTCCTTCGCTAAATATTATAGCTTTTAAGTGTACATTCTTTTATTATTATTTGTTTTTTTTTTTTTGTTTATTTTTTTAATATCTCCTAAATTTTTAATTTTTTATTATATTTTTTTTTTTTATAATTATTTTTTGTACCACTTTATTATTTATAATATTACTTTAATATTTTGTAATATTATTATTTATATATGTATATTGTTATAAAATATTGATTGACATTTAAATTATTTATATTCCGAAATAGGAGAGATAGAGAGATAGAACAAAAAAAACATAAAGTATAAAATGAAAATTTTTCACCGACTCTTTTTTTTTGATAATTAAATTTTTTTTTGTATTATTTTTTTTGTTGTATTTTTAAAAATAAATACTTGATGTTAAATTTTATATATAATTAAAATATAATTATAATTATAATATTTAAATATTTACTTCTTAATTATTTTTTTCTTGTTTTTTTTACAATACAATTACAAAAAAAAAAAGAAGAAGGAGAGCCAAAAAAAAAATTAGATAGGAGAACGTTTTAGGATACCAACAACATTTAAATAGTATTAAAGAAAATATTTTTTTTTTTTTTGTTAAAATAATTATAATCAAAACAGAATGCAAATAAAATCACTTTTTTTTATTTTTTTTTTATTGTTCTTTTTTTTTCGTTTTATTTTTATGCAAAAAGGACAATATTTCCTCGGTAAATTTTCTTCCTTTTTTTTTTCTTTTATTAAAATTGTAATGTATTAGCTATGTATGTAGGTATTTTTTTTAACATTGTATATGTATTATAATTTATGTAGATATGTATTTTATAATAATACATAAATGGAATAATATAAATTGATATATTATGTATAAGTATAAAGATTGTATATTATATATGTGTTATAATGTAACTATACTAAAATATATATTTAAATATGTAGATATTTATATATTATGTATGTATATTTATATTATTTTGTTTCCTTATTTTTTTATCATCATTTCATATATAATAAAGAAGAAGAAAAAACAAGGAACTCTTGCAAAAAAAAACACAAAATATAACAAAAAAAAAAAATACCAAAAATATTTATAAGAAAAAAGATTATAATGTAGTATCCCCGCAAGAATAACAAAAAAACAGAAACGTAAAAAAGCACAAAAAAAAAATATTACACTGGTATTTTAAAAACACTAAATAGATACAGAATTATCGATATTTATACAAAAAAAAAAAAAAAATGAAAAGAAATGTTCTTTTTATAAACTTTTTTTTTTTTTTATAAATTATTCGATTTGATTTTACTTTATTTATTTTTATATATTTTATTTGAATTATTATACATTTATTTTAACTTTTTATTCTCTTTCAATATATTTATTTCGTAAACTTATTATTTTATTTAACTTTACAATATTGTGTAGTAGCTCTAATGTGAAGATAATTATTATGTTCGGATTTTTTTTTTCTTTTTAATTCACGCAACAACGAATCAACCAAACAATTAGAAAGTTGACAATCGAATGAAAGCCTCCTTTTTTTTCTGTTTCATTTGCTATTCTTGTTTCTTTCCCTTAAAAAAAAAAAAAGAAATATAGAGCAAAAACGAAAAAAAGTCAAAAAAAAATTCTGACAGACCCTCTAGCTAAAAATTATGTAGAAAAAAAAAAAATTTCATTGAAACATGACAAGGTAGGAAAAAATACACAAGTTGTTATTTTCTTTTTCTTGTTTTTTAGAATGCGCAATTCAAGTAAATAATAAAAAATTCACATTTACTCTTTTTTTATATTTAAGAATATTTTTTGGGAAGAGTTCAGAAATTTGGATAATTAGAACATTTATTTTTCCAATTTTGTAAAATTTCAGTATATTTTGAAGTATGTAAAATGAAAGAGATTACGATTTCTTCCCTTAATAGCACAATCATTTAATGTTCAAGAATATTAACCCAGCATTTACACATACAAGTTACTTGCATGCAAGTTTGTATAATATTAATTGTCAATTAGTTTTTCGAAATGTCAAATTACTTGCTATTATGACGTAGGCGTTTAGCAAGTTAATTTTTGAAAATGTCTTTGAGAAGAAAACAACTAGCAATATATATAATTGTTTATAAATTTTAGAAACCATAAGTTTGCTAAGTTTAATTTTTTCAAAACAAAATTCAAAAATTTTAAATTAAAAAAAAAAAAAAATCAAAACAACAAATTTTTTTTTTGTGAATTTCTCAATATGTCAAATTACTTGCTCAAATTACTGGCAGCAAAATTTTCTTGCAAGTTGAACTGCAAGTAAACAAGCAAGTAGAAATATTTCAATGTGTTAGTAAAATTTTTGTATGTATTGCAACTTTCTTGCAAATAACTTGTACGTGTAAATGCTGGGTTAGGGTTTGAAAAAATATTTGGAGTTTGGAAACCAATTTTCGCTTGATTCTAAATTGGTGCACATGTGAGCAACTTAAATTTATTGCATCAACTGAAAGCTTTAGTTAAAAAATATACAAGTTGTTTGATTACTTGAAGAAATGCAATAATACAGTATTGAATGAATGCATAAAAAATAACTTAAATAAGCAGTAAAACAATTGCAAAAGTAGCGGAGCTCTCATTTAATCTTAAATGAGTACAATGTATTGTTTTTAAGTCTTTACTTTTAATTCATCACCTCTCATTTAACACCATTTTTGAATGCTACAAATTTTAACTTTATTTCCCAAAAAAAAACTTTTTATTAGATAAATGATGAGAAGTGTGCAAATATTTGTCGATTAGCTGTATTTATTCGACGAAATTTTGTTAACATACGTGTTGTTCTCAAGGTTCGGCAGGAAATTAAAAAATTTTGAAATTAATAGAACTTGTCAAAAAATTTGAAAAAGAAAATATATTTTTTTCAAATTTCGCAACGGTCAGATGCGTTTTTGGTTTTTTTTTTAATTTTATATTGTCAGTATATAAATTGCAAATACGTATTGAAGGTGCTTTTTACATATACAGTAAAAATTTAAAATTAAATCTATAATAAAGTCTAATAATTTTTTACATATTAAACTAAACATAATTTGACAGATCAAATTAATCGCAGACTTTACGTTAAAATTTAGCAATATAGGCTATGAAAATGTGTAAACACTGATTGTCTGACGGCAAATAATTGAAATTACTCTATTCTAATCAAACTGTTCGCAAATATTATTTTGATTAGAATAGAGTAATTTCAATTATTTGCCGTCAGACAATCAGTGTTTACACATATCAAACTTTTATCAGACTCAGATTAAATCTTAGATTTTGTCGCAAATGCAAACAATACAAAAAAAAATTGCTGTCAAAAGTTTGACATCAAGTTAAAAAATGACTCTAAGATGAAATGTTCGTCAAATTTCATCTTAGATTATTTCTAGAGTAATTGACGGTAGCTCACACCTAAATTAATAAAATGCAGCTAAAGCATAATAGATATATTGAGTTTCTAAACGTAACTCAATAATTTTGACAAAAATAATTTAATAAAATAATTTGGCAACGTTTAAAAAATTTCATATGTCAAGAAAAGAATTAAAGTAAAACATTGTTTTTAATGTTTATTGCTGTTGTTTATAAATTTTTATATAGAAAAATAAAAGGTACAATTTAATAATTATGACTCAATTCGTTGAGTTAGACTTTCAATTAGAAAATGAAGTATTAGAGTGGTCTGAAGAATACAATATTGACAATGAAGCATTATTTGCTTTGATCAAAATTCTGAAATCACGATGGCCATCTCCAAATTCATTTAATAAGAACTTGAAAACTGACCGGGTAGTTCAATGTGACTATTCTGAAATATTTTTGGATACAGTTAACAGCATTGGAAATGGAAGTTTAAGAGAATACCTTGAAGATTTGAAGCATAATCAAAAAGCCATTCTAAATGAACTCAAATTTATTCGTAACGAAACGGATTTTGAGAATGAAAATGGCTCTGTTACATCGAAAAACGATTTTACTGAAAATGAAAAATTACTACGCTTCCCAATAGAAAGTTTGAATCATTTTCAATCATTAGAAGAGATTTGTTCGAGAAATGAAAAACTATATAAAAAAATGGTAAAATTGTAAACTTAAATAAATGAATAAGAAAACTTATGTTTTTCGTTATAGATAGAAATTTTCCTATCAAATGAAAAAGTTGAACATGGTATATCAATTCAAGAATTTTTAACTATAAATTTTAAGATGATTTTAGAAAAAAAACTAATGTTATATTTAGCAAAATTTTTTATAAATGTTTACCAGCTTGAAAGCTGCTCTATATTTAAATGCTTGAAAGGTAAGAACCTATTGTATATATACGATATATGTATATATTTTTTTCTATCCAATGCACCTTATTCTTTTCAGATGCATTTTTACAAAAATTTCCAAAAGAAAATGGAGAACAAATATTTAGTTCTATACTAATGTATTTTAAAAATCTTTTAATTAATGAAGAAGACTCAATTTTAGCTACTGAGTCGTAAGAAATTGAATCTTAATGTTTATAATATCAATTTTATAAATAAAAGAATTAAGATTTACGACATTTTACTTTCTTTTTAGAATATCTGCCGAAGAAACTAATGTCGAAGAACATTTATCAATTGATCTGGAATTAATATCTCTAGATTTGCCTTGCAATACAATTAAAGATTTGTTCAAATTTGAAGAGCAATGCAAAGAGTTAAATTTTGCATTGGTAAAAATAATTTGGTGGTAACAAAATTCAACTAAATGCAGAATATTTTAAATTTCTAGATATCGCTTTTTAAATCGGGTCCCAAAAATGATTGGAAATCTCTAATTTTTTTTGTAATGAAAAAGGTTTTCGGGCAAAATATAATCAGTGAAATAGAATGGGAAACCGCAAACGATAACAAAGTTGAAGTTAAATATTTAAATATCATAGAAGCTCTTGTCAGTAAGTTCAATTATAAGATAATTCTTTTTATTTTATTAGTATTTTTATTCCTTTAACTTTAAACTCACAAAAACATTTAGAATACGTGATAGAAAATTTTGAAGAAGTAACTTGTGAGGACGATATTGCAAAAATCGTAACAGAGTGGATAAAACTGGGAGATACTTTGAAACAACATGAAAATAAGTTAATGAAAAGAGCCTATTAATACAATGTACATATGAGAATTATTTTTTTTTCAACTTATTTTAGAAAATTAAAAATAGATTCGAAAGAAGATAATGTAATAGAAGTTGAACTGATCGGATCACCTACTTGTGATATTACTGAAAATACGGTAGAAATTTTAGATTATCATGAGGAATTTTTAGAAGAAGAGGAAAATTTATTTAATTTATTGCCTTGTAAAACAGAAAGCTCATTTAGGAAATTCGAAGAGGCAGTGCGAACAGATTCAAATTTTCAAGAAAAATTGGTAAATAAATTTTTAAATCTTTGATAGCACATGAAAATAAAATATAAATTTGTAAAATAAATTTCCTTCTGTTCAATTTCATATTTAATTTAAGAAAGAGTTATATTTTACAAAATATAACACTTTAGAATTGACTGATGATCGAGAAGATTTTTCTGACGACTCTAAAATTTCAATTCACTCAGGCAAGGCGTATGATTTTAAACCATTCATTGAATATAATATTCGAAAAATAGCATCAGATGAAGTGATTTCAATATTTCCAAGCTTTGCAAATGAAAAATTATATAAAAATGAATATTTAAATTGTAGTGACATTTCTGTATTGAAAATTCTTCAAGGTATTGTCTGAATGCTTTAATTTGGTGTTTAAATTTTTACGTAAAAAGAATTTTTTCCCGTGATAACGTTCATGTATTTTTTTATTTTTTCTGTTACAGAATGTACACAGCAAAAATTTGCATGTTTATCAACTACTTTTATCAAAAATCAGATCAATTTGTTTGTAAACAAAACAAAGGAAAATTTAAAAAATTGGAATATTATAAAAAAGACTGAGGAGTAAGTTTTCTTTCCATAAAATTAAAATACAATAATTTATTTGTACTAATAGATGTAGAATGAAATTGCAAAGTATTAAGCCAAGGGACATTATAACACCAGACAGTCATTCAATTCATTTGCAATCAATTTTTAATTTACCTCTAAATAATTTTGAAAGCCTTCAAGATTTTAATCTAAAGTGTTTAAACAACGAAGAAATGTCATTGAACCTGGTAATTTAACGAAAAGTTCTTTCTCAAATTTAATTTAGTGATTTTTTTTTAAATTTATTACAAAAGATGACGATGTTTCTCCAAGCTTCGGAATATGACTGCAATAAATTTGTTGATAAAAATTTGCGCAAATTAATAACAGAAAACTTAGGGGGTCGGTTAACATGGAATGGAATTCAGGAAAATATAGCAATGAAAGATTTTTATATTATGAAACTATTAATTGGTAAATATTAATAACTTATCGAGTTAAAGTTGCTTACAATATGTAACACTTTTTATATTCAAAAATAATCAAGATGCAACAAAAAAACATTTTCCGCAACAAAATGAGGAAGCAATTATTGAAAGCATTAAACTAGCTCTTAGACGTTTTAAAGATCGAGTTAGAAAGAGGAAAATTAGCATATCTTCGTAAGTTCAGTTTATCAAATTTCCCATTCAATATTATTTTGAATAAAATTTTGAAATGTCTTTATAGAATAGAAAACATAGACAAAGATAATAAAATTTATTTGGATGCGTCAGCGCAAAAAGAAGAGGAGATTGATAATGATATTACGCAATTAAAAAGGATACCATGTAGAACCATAAAAGAATTTCAAGATTTTGAAATATTTTGTAGAAAATGTAAAAATTTACAAACAAATTTAAAAAGATTATTTGATTCCAACCCTAATGTTGAGGATATAGTGAAATTTATATCAGAAAATTTAAAAAAAATTGTTATTGATTCAGTTTTAAGTAATTTTACGTACAATGGTTTGAAAAATAATATTGGAGTTAAGTATTACACTATAATTCGAATATTATTGGGTAAGATAAATTAAATTTCAGCTTTTCCATAAAGTCTACACAAATATTATTTTAATTTTAGATTCGTTAATAGTAAAAAATCCTTACATTTCGGAAGAAGAAGCGATAAAAGCTTTGAAAAAGGCCCTTTTACTTGCAAAAGATAGACAAAGATCAATGTACAAAAAAAGAAAAAAAAATTAACAAATAGTCTGATGCCAAAGATTCTATTAATGTAATTTTTTTTCAAAATTATATTTAACTTTTTTCAAATTAATTTAAAGCACTTTAAATTTTCCATAAAAGTTTTGAGTTCAAAAAATTTGCTTATTAATGTATTTATCAAAATTAAAGATTCTGATAATTTCGAATCTTTTCTTGATTATTTGACTTATTGCTAAAGTAAAATGTTTGTTTAAAGTATTTTAATTCTTGTTTAATTTCTTTTGTTTACATTTTTTTATAAAATTACCAGAAAATTATTATTTCATTAAAAATCCTTTAGTACTGCCACCTAAAAAATAGATTTCGAATTATTTTTGATTGAAACATGTATAAACTTCAATTTAACTTACAATTTAACAACTTTATCTTTACCACCAGAACCTACTCTGGATCCATCAGGTGCCCAATCAACACCAAAAACCTCGTCAGCATGACCGGGTAGTTCTTGCGCTAATTTTTTTGTAGCAACACTCCAAACTTTTAAAGTTGAATCTTTGCTGCCGCTGACTATAAGCCGAGAATCTGCTGACCAAGCTAAAGTGTAAACTGCCTGTACATGACCTCTAAACACACAAATGAAACCACCATCATGAGCTCTCCATAATCTTACTGATTTATCAAATGAAGCAGATGCAATCATTTTATTATCAGGCGAATATTTTACGTCGTTGACGACATTCTGATGGCCAGTCATTCTTTGAACTGATTGATTCTGATTTGCTCGCCACAAACTTAATGTAAAATCATCAGAACACGAAACTAAAGATTCAATACCATCTGGGCATACTTTTTGGTATCTTTCGAAGGCCATTTTTCTTAATTCATCCATTTTACAATTTTCATAACTTTTATTTCGATCTAAAACTGGATGATATGGACCCGTACGCAAAACGTAGTCTGTGCTTAATGCCAAATTATTAACCCAATGACCATGACCAGTAAATGTACGACATAAGGCACCATCCTCGGCTCTCCACATTTTTATAGTGCGATCTTTAGACGATGTATATAATAGGCCATTCCCTCCCCATCGAACTGCTGTTACAGATGCTGTATGGCCACTTATGACTCGTTCACATTTAACAGTTACAATGTCCCATATTCGGACGTCTCCATCTTGACCTGCACTAGCTAATCGTCTGCATTCAGGATTTTTATGATATGGTTCCCAACTTAGACAATTTATCCACTTTTTATGTCCAGTTAGTGATTTGCCCATTTGTTGACCTGTTTCTGGATCCCAAATTATAACTGTGCCAGCCTTACATGCACTTGCTAATTTCAGGCCATCAGGAGACCAAACTACACATAATACCCATTGTTTATGTCCTTTACATGTAAAATGCGGAGTTTCAGTATTTAAATCCCAAAGACGCACGGTTGTATCACCAGATCCACTAGCCAAATGTTTTCCATTGGGACTAAAACCTATTGAAACTACAGCCTCTGCATGACCTGGCATCGAACTCGTACATCTAGTTACTGGTCTAACTTTAAAAACTGCTTGTGGTTGATAAATAATATCGATAACATTTTCTGTGTCAATTTTTTTCAAATCAACTGTTTTACTGAGCGAAGTCACAATTTCATCGTCATTTGTAAAAAATTTATAAGGTATTGGTTCCTCATTTTCTAGTAACGCATTGCAAATCAGTCCCAATTGTTCAACATTTATTTCAGATGGGAGATCAAAAGGAGCCCCCGCTTCTATTCCTTCCTCAGATATAAATCTAGCTTGAAGTGTTTGCGGTACGATTTCCTTTTCGTTTGACTCATCCAGCTTCATTTTTTTCGAAGACATGATTCAATTAACTTCAATATACATGTGTAAACAAATTAAGTAACAAAACAATAAATTAGTGATGCCTTATTTTGATTAGTAACTATAAGACACTTTTGTTTATAAAAATTAAAAATAAAAATACAAAAACTTCACGTGGTTTAAAGAACGACTGTCACTGTAAAGTAGTAAACAAAAATAAAAAAACATTCAATACAGCGTTGCCAAATCATTTTTATTTACTTGGCGCAATTTAATTATAATTGACGTCACATTTTGATTTTATGCTAAAAAACACAGATATAGAATATTAAAGCATTTATAGTTGATTCTTTGCACACGGAAAGACAAATTTTTAGTTTTGCAACTGTTTGAATGTTTATTTATATTCTGTAGGTTCAAACAAAGCGCGCACTTATGCAACTCCGTGCTAATTAGTTTAGAATGAATTGACTATAAGGGTTCAGAAAGATATGCAATTTTTAGTTTTGCAATTACTGCTTCATTGTAAAAATCGTTGCGTAACTAAGCTATTGCGTCAATTCAAATCGAGCGCGTTAGCTAAAAAAATTGCAATTAGTTTGTAAAAATTGCAAACTGTGTGATTGCTTAATTGTATGTGATCATAGAGTTGAATGTGATCATTAATATAAATCTGTAGAATACAAATAAGAAATCAAACAATTACAAAACTAAAAATTGCATGACTACCTAAGCCCTTACTTCAATATTTAAAAATCGGATTCGCAATAAATTTCTGAGCTTGTTTCTTTCCCCTTTTCTTTTGCACCTGTTTCCTCTTTCCTGTTTTCGAGTGTTGCGTTTAGCAGTTCTTTAAAATATAATTTTTAAAAGAACTCATAGTTTTGTGACTTGTGTGTGATTACTTCATCTTTCATCATAGAAATTAAAAATTTGCATAAATAAATAATATTCACAAATTTTTTTAACTGTTTTACAAGCAAAACTTCCAAAACCATTTAAATTGTTTTTTACTTTAAATCCCAAACTTTGTACGAAATTATGTTTTATATAATTATACATTAAAAATAAAAATATTAAAACAATTTCAATTTTTATTTTTTTATTACTTTTATTAACTGTGTTTTATTTTTATTTTTTTTTTGTTAAATAACATCGAATGCCTGTATTTTATTTTATAAATGCTATATTATAAATTTAAAATAAGTAACTTAATTTAAAAAAAAATGTTAAATCTATTTAATATATTTATTACAATAATACACGTATAGGTTTTATATATTTTTTTTTATTTTATTTTTTTTACAAATATAATAGTGAATGCAATTGGTAAAGTTTTTTTAAATAAATTTTCTTTATAAAAATGTCTCGTTTTCGGTTTTTACAAAATAATTAAAATATTTATTACTAAATTTTTATTAATACAGTAGATTTAGATTTAAAAATTAAAAAATTAAAAAAAAAAGATTATGTAAATTTAAATTAATTTATTTGAATTCAGTTCTTAATATATAAGTGTGTATTTTTTAATTATTGATAAATTTTTAATCATATTCATTTAGACGCATCACTTGAAATTTTTAGAATAAAATCAATTTCAAATTTTTTTTATTGTTTAATGCATACATTTAGTATTAATTAATAATAGACCATCTTTTTAAGTCGTCTAAAGAATATGGGTGATATTAAATTTGAAAGAAATTTGAGATTTTCCAATGATGTAAATTTAATGGTATAAAATTTGAAAAAAAAAATACGATTTATATTTTTCTAAAAGTGATTTTTTTTTAACACGAGAAATAGAATATGTACATATGTATAATTATAAATTTTTATCGGAATTTAAGCAAATAATTTTCTTATATATTCATGTTAAGTAGTCTATTTGGAATTATTGATATTTTGCTCATAATTTATAACTCATTCAATTCTCTAAATGATATTGTTTTACAATATTATATAGTACTGTTTTTTTATATTATTTAAATTTTTTAAATGAATTATATTTTTGAAGAGCCAAACATAAAATATTACAAAAATTTCAATAACAGCATTTTTTTTCTACTAAATTTTTAATGTAAATTCACTAAGTATACTTTTTTAATATAAATTTTATAAAAAACACTACTAATTTACGTACAATTTACTTTTTAATATTTTCGATTCTTATGCTACCATTTTTTATATATTTAAAAAAAGAAAAAAGAAAACAAAAAAAGGATTATACAAAATTCATAAAAATTTTCTATTTGTATTTTATTCAATTTTTGCAAATTTTAATATATATTCATTAATTATATTTTAGAAAAAAAATTTCTATGCATCTTTCATGTATTTTGTATTCAATTATTAATTTATTTCAATTATTAATGATTTCAATTATTAATGAATATAACGATTTGGAAACTTTGTTAAAAAATTATAAATTTTATTTATCTAAAATTATTTAAAGAAAATTTAAAGGTGATTTAGGAAATATGATATCTGTAATATGCTAGATTTAAATTTGAATTAGACTAAAATGTATTTTCATTTTAAAAAATTTAGATTCTCAAGAGATAATAAATTTATATGTATATTAAAGTTTTGCATATTTTTATTATTAAACACTTTCTTTTGCAGCAAAAAAAAAAAATATAAAATTAATTTTGGGACCAAATAACATGAGCCCCCATATACGAGGAACATTAAAATTTTTTTTTAATTTATATCTGCTTTTATATGTGCACATGCAAATACATAAAAATAATATATTTATAAAAATAAATATATAAAAGCCAAATCAATTTATTAACTTTCATATTATTAAATAATTTTATATGTATATTTGTTTTTTCTTCTTACCGAAGGCCAATTATTTTATATTTCTTTAGATTCTTTGGTTTCAATATTATGCTTATAAAACAACATCTTTATACTCGTATTTTCTATTACGCCAACGTTTCGAATTTTTATTTTATATCTATTCTACAAGGAATGAATCCATCTCAATTTGTGGATAAGAATTAAAATGTTCAATTACTTGTTATTATTTATTTATTTATATATTTATAAAATATTTTTGACGACAATGAATTTTTATTAACTCATGAGGATGAATATAAAATAAAAATCTGAAACGTTTACGTGTTAGAAAACTTAATTTAATTCAAGTTGTTTTAATTATAAATACATAACTTATTGAAATCAAGAATTTAAAAAAAATTATAATCAACAATTATTGTATATTTTATATTTAATTCCATAATAAACATAAAATTAAAAAAAAAAAAAGTGAAAAATGTTCTTTTAAATTTTTTGCTTCAATTTATTGTAGAAGTTTCCGTTTTCGTCATAACTCGTTTCTAATTAATTATTATATTTTACATTTTTCCGAATTTATAGTAATATTATAATATTGAACAATTTTATAGTAATTATATCCATAATTAATATAATCGTCTTTTTTAAACAATAGAAAAGTTGTAGCAATAAATTTTGTTATTAAAATATTTTTAATTTAAAATATAAGAAAAAATATAATATTATAAATTAAAAAAATAGTGTATGTACACAATATAAAATTGTATTTTAAGAAATCATCACAAAATATTATATAATAACACTTATGCAAAGTGCAAATAAAATTTTTTACAACTTATTGTGACAACACAAATTATTTGTATAAAAATTCAATTCAGTTAAATTATAAAGTATATGTATATATGCATTATTAAATAATACGCTTAAAATAGTTTCCTTTATTTTAGCATAAATATTTTACTTTTAGTTTTTTTAACAATAAACCCTTTTTTTAAAGTCGATTTCACGATATTGTTATAAAATGAGGTTACTCAAATTAAAAAATATAAAATAATAAAATGAAAAACAATTCTATAATTAAAGTAAAAAAACAAGAGTAGGATTAAAGGATATTACAAGTGTGATAACATACATTAAAAAAATATTATTGAGACAAAAAATTTGAAAAATACATTTTGATTAAATAGAATTAAATAAAATTGAATTCGGACCCAATTTACAAACAAGCATAACTTTCTAAAACCGGGATGTTAAAATATGATTTTAAAATTTAAATATTACAAAAAAGTTTCGAAAAAAACATTTACTACATTTTATAAGTTTATTTTTCAAAATATAAGAATTAAAGTTTTGAAATAAACAAAATTCTTTAATAAAAGAAAATTTTAAATTAATAATTTCATAGTTTAATTAATTTTAATTAAAAAAAAATGTATTCATTAATACCGTGAAAAATTAAATGTTTTTATAATTGTAATAAAAGAACAATAAATGAAGAATTATAATAAAAGAAATTTTGTAATAAATTGTTACAAAATTAAAGGAATTTTAATAAATTTTTATAAAAAAATTTTGTATTGGATTTTTGTATTGTTAAATTTACAAAATAAGTAACAAGTTACTTATTTTGTATTAATATTTTGATTTTTCAATTTCAATGTACTATTGTAATAGACGAATATATCTTTGATCTTGAACGAGTTGATTCATTTTATGCGAAAATGTTGGAAAATCCTTAAATAAAAATAAAAAAAAACCATATTAAACATTTATTGAGCAAAAAGAAAGATACTTACGGTTGACAAACATATTTCTTCTACAAATTTTAAATTATTCGTGAATCCAACTGATAAAAATGATTCATGAAGTTTATTGATATTGACTTGGCCCATATCGAATAATACTTGAAGCAATAGCTCTTGATGTATTGCACCTTCAGGTATTAACATTAAATTCAATAATGCATATTGAAATGATTGTAATAAATTTGATTTAAAAAAATCTCTATAATATAATTGCCAACGTTCATTTAAATTTTGTAATGATATCAAAATTGTTCGAACTAAATGTGGATCATTTGAACAATTTACTAAACCTCTTCCATATGATGTTAAAATTGTTGATAATTGTTCAGAACGTTGTGGTAATTCATCAGGTAATGTTACAAAATCACTTGCACCAGGCGAAAATCCTCTTTGAGCTTGAGATTTAAAGAAATATTGCCAACGGTGTTGTAAAATTCTAAAAAAACAAAACGAAAACAAATATTTATTAACGAAAAAAAAATAATTACTAAACTTTTTTTATTTACCCATCAAATAATGCATATAATGCGTATGATATTTCAGCATAATCCATTAAATTTTTATCATGCAATAGTAAAGGTAAAACGTGGTCTAAAGACAATGTCAAAATCGATGGAATTAACGACATTGTTGAATTTCCCGGTTGTTCTACAACTAACAAAACCATTTGTAAAATGTTTTCTATTGACTTTAAACGACGCACCGATAACTGCTCCCTATATTATGAAACATTTTTAATTACTAGAAAATTTTATAAACAAAATAAATACCTTATTGTTGAATCAATGAATATAGTAAGCATTTCCCGAACAAAACTTATACCTAACTGCATTTGAAGTGTTCTTAAAACACTTAAGCAAAATTCTGACACACTGGCAGTGATTTCATTACTTACAGATCCGTAGTAATTAAATATAGATAACGCCATTGATATAATAGGCTGAAATAAAAGAAAAATAACAAAAAGAAATTATGAGCTAGTCATCAATGGTTTACCTTAACTGCATTAGTTAACATTTGTTTCACAGCCGTACTGCTTTCTCGAAAATAATCTAAAACCTCTTTTAAAATTGGTAAAATAGAAGTTGTTATAGTTATAATCTTCTGTTCTTGGCCATTACCCATCGTTGTGTAGTCTAGATCAGTAAAGTCATTGGATATACATTTAATGTACTCCTGTAAAGCTATGTTTCTTTTTTCAAAATCTTGTTGTTGACTGGGAACATTTTGCCATGGCAAAGTAAGACAATTTATAACAGTTTCATATATGGCGCAAATAACAGGTTTAGGTAAATGAGCTAGAACGGGACCACATTGAATGAGCTGCGTTATTGAATAACATTCAATCATAAATCGAGGTTTTATTACTGATGATATACTAAGAAGTAGTTGAGCTAAAAATATTTACAACATAATTAAATCAGAACAATTAAAGATTAAAAAAAATATTTACCTGCACATAATGACACAATTCGAGATTTTTGTTTAGAGCTTGGCAATAAAATTGAACCTACGTTCTCTATCAATTGTTTCAGTTCAGTTTCAGATTTCAAAAGAGGAGACAACGGGAGGAGACAACGAATGGCTGATAAAGTTTGAGCAAATCTAAAAGGAATAAAAAAATACAATATTAAAAATATACTATAAATATTTCACATTTTATACATACAATTCTACAAAATCAGACATCAACGGGGAATTTTCGCAATTGAGGCAATGTATTTTATTACTACTTAAAAATTTTACAGTATATAATAAACATTGGGTCATTTGTAATAAATTTTCTGAATATTTTCCAGAACCACCTTCAAGTACAGGTGCTAAACGAACTAATGTTTGACAAAGTGATGATAGATCGCGTAAATTACTATGTATAAAATGGCACTTTGTTTGATCATTTAAATCAATTGATGTATTATTATCAATTGATTTTTCTAATAATATTAATGTTTCAAATGGTCGTTGCCAATCATTGAAAACTTGTTCAAATACTGGAATTGGTCTTCCCTCAGCAACATATGCTATAACTTCAATACAAAGATTCAAATAATGTTGCCATTCAGTCTCCATCTATTTTAAAAAAATTATATGATAAATATTGTTATCTCCAATAATGTAAATTATTTTAAAATAAAACTTACATCTTCATCGAGGGTCTCGTTATCTAAAGTATCTAGTTCTTGTTCTTGATCAAATCTAAATTGCATTTTCTTTAAAATTCCACCAACAAGTAAATGCATTATTTCAGAGTAACGACCAAAAGACGTGGGAATTAAGGCTCTAATTATCGGCGACCATATTTCCAATCTTTCAGTAAAAGCTAGAGCTCCATTACCTAAAAATTTTTTATCGAAATTTATTTGCTGTTTACAATTTATTACGCATTTTAAAAGAATATTTGTTTGATCTTACGTACCTACAAATGTATAATTATATAAAGATAATAGTAATGAAGGAAATGTTTGCTCGTCAGCAACTAGTGTGACACAACATTTATCTGTGTACAGTCTTAACAGTTCAGTAAATCTGTCTTGATAAACTTCACTTGATTTATATAAATTACTATTATCTAATAAGTCTTTTATGCCCATCATTATAACTTGAGGTGATGGTATAGCACGTTGAAGATAAAATAATTCATTAATTACAGATATTGCAGAGCGACTAATTTTTTCACTTTGTTGATCACGCCACTTGCTTAAATTGAAAATATTCAATAAGAAGTAGTCGGAGATCAAATTATCTAAAGGAATCCATGAGAAAAAATGCTGAATACATGATAATAGATCTCGCGTCGAATTACTAAAAAAAATTTGTTAATATATTTCGTATCCAAAAAATTAAATTTAATATTAATTACTGCAATTGATTGTCATTTGGCAGTGATGCAACCATTACGGGATCTACATTAATATTAGAATTTAAAAGAATATCAGTTCCATTGAAATAATTAACTGTGATGGCTAAAAATTTATCTAATATATCGATAATTTCCGGTAAACACAATGAAATACTAAAATAAAAAAAAAATTTAATTTAAATGTAATTTAAAATATTTAATTTAAAATACCAATAACCATGAAAATATTAAAATATAATGCTCACCATGATTGAAAATACTTCTTTCTATCTGTAGGTAAATCATCCTTTAAACTAACAACCTCTTCAGAAGTAGTTTTCAATAATGTAATTCCTAATGAAAATTTATTCTGTGTTAATTGAATAACATGCGTTATATATGCTGGATGTTCATCCGGAAATTCACGTTTGCCAATTAAGGCAATTAATTGAGCTATAGTATTTCTTTGTCGACGAGGATAGCTACCATCTATTGGTAAATTTGCATAAAATCTCCATAATTGCTCTCTAAGAGTATTACGATCCAATGATTTTAAGGTTGACCATTTACGAACTATAGCATGTTCTAATGTTGATGCAGTAAAAAACCATAAATATTGATTTGTAGAGGTAGTATTATCTGTTAAGCTAACTAAACATTCATGAACCGATTCAGCACTATTTTTATATGTTATTAATTGTGTTTCAATTTCTCTTTTACGGATGTTATTTGTATTCGAAAGATAAAATTCATTCAATAATCCTTCCACTATAGATAGCGATAGTGGTGTAACCTAGAAATATACATTCCATAGATTTATAACTTTATTAAATTTTGAATAACAAAAAATGAAAATTTTGAGTATTTATTTAAAATTTCTTATTTTGAATTTTAAAGTACATTAACAAAAAAACAAAAGAATCAAAGCAGGAAACGAAACGGAGGTCATATTCTCATATAGATTATAGGCAATGATGAATAATCCATGATTAAAATATGGCGATATTCTCCAAATAAAAATAAGAACGAACTTAAGTATGTATCAACATATTCATGTACATACACATTATGTATCTACACATACAATATACAAAAATAATCTTCTATATCTTTCATATTGTAAACATAGAATGAAAAATAAATTATACTATAAAATATTTTCTTTGTGCACTCATATTAGGCAATTTAAGTTAAATATGACCTTATAAATTGAAAATTTACAAAATTTCAATTTTCCAATACTAAAGTGGGTAGCGAGCGAGTAGTTAATAAGGTAGAAAATGAAAAGGGTGTTAGCCAATTTTTTTTTTCTTTACCTCAACTTCTAAATATATGCTAAAATTTAATTTAACTTTACATAAACTAATATCAATTTGTATTCTAAATAACATAGTTCGATGTACTTACATTACAACATAAAAATAAATGTAATTAAAAAATATTTACTCACCATTTTTAATTGGAAAACGCAATTTGTACCAAAACTGATTATGTTTTGTTTAATTTTAAGTTTTTCCAAATATTCAAAATATTTTAATAATCTCGAAACATGAATAATGTCTTTTTATTATTTAATTTTTGAAATTCTTATGAATAAATATACTTAGAACTAATGGAAAATTTATTTTTGTTTAAAAAAAATAATAGTCTTGAACTTGATTTGAGAAAAATCTGAAGCAATAGAAAAAATTTCTTATCTTTTCGCTCATTCAATAGTCTGACATTTAATTTTTGACAATTTGTAAACAAAACAAAAAAAAGAGCTACTAGATTTAAAAAAAAAAAACTATGACACGTCGTAACTCGCCACACACGTTTGAAAAAAAGTGCATATAAAAACAAGGACCATTTTCTGAGTTTCTATTGCATACTAATGAACTATTAACTCTATTTTTCACTAATTAAACATATTTTTATCATGACTTTGTTGTGAAGCAATGTTTCCAATACATTTAATTTTGAGGGGGTGACGATTAACAAAAAAAAGTTAAGGAGAAAATAAAAAACTCACCATACAATTACATCCTAAATTTTTCAACATTGAACTACCACACACAAGTTCAACTAAACATAAAAAAAATTTGCTTACAACAATGCTTCTAGTATAAGGAAAATATTAACAGGAAAGCAGTAAATAAATATATTAATTATAGAGGCGGTTATAACACAGCTGCTAAATTAAACCTAATACAATTAAAAATAGTACAAAGCAATAGAAATTGATTTTATGTAATTTTCGTGCTTCCACAGCATATCATTGACATGCCAAACCGTTATTGTACTTTTTCTTTTGAGGTTTGCAAATAGCTCAATAGCCCGCACTGAGTCAAATATTATATGCTATCTTGGTAGTAAAGAAATTTGATTTAAGAAGTTAAATCGAATCGACAACGGTACTTTACTTTATTTTGAAAAGTATTATTAGGAACGTACATAATTTGTTTCTATGTTTATGTATTAGGTATTATTATTTTCATATTTATTAGTTTGTTACGGCAGAAATTTATAATTTTTATTTACAATATTATATAAACATTGTTAAATTTTTTATATACAGTTAAAAGACTTTGAAAAATTTGATTTAACTGCAGTAAGATATTAATTGAATGCACCCACGAACAAATATTTTTGTTAGAAACGAAATGTGCGATTCTCATATCTAACTCTTTGGTATTTACATCCATAAAATGCAATTTGTAACTTATTTAAGGTAAGAATTTAAAATTTAATTATAAAATCATTATTTAAAGTTATTATTATAATAAACATAAGTAAATTACGTTTATTTTTTAAGGTACATATAATTATAAGGAAATGGATAATAAAATTTTACTAGACTTTAGGTTATCAAAAGGTTGTGGATTAGAATTCATAAAATTAAGCAGACTTTAGAGGAATACGTCCTTAGAGGGCCAATTAGTTGGCCAATTGCTATTGCGACTCTATGCCTTAGAGTACATATTTTTTAAATGAATTTTAATATTAATTATTTTCCTATTTAAATATGTTACAATGTTACTGCATTTTCGAGCTAAAAATTGTATTTAAATTTTTTGTTGAAAACTTATTTTAAATTTTGTAAAAAGAACTGTACAATTATAAGTTTGTTAAACAATGTACATGATAGACAAATTTTGTCATTCATGATCGTTTCGCTTAGTTCGTTGATTTGAGGTTTATGAAATATAATGGTCAGAAAAAATTTTTTTATTAATAAAACACTTTTCACTAAATAAATTCTAAATTTAGAAATTTTTAAGAAAGTCAAATATAATATATTTTTTATTTAATTAAAACCAAATTTTAGTTAAGTTTTAAAAGAATAAATTAATAATATCCGATTTACATTGATCAACATATTTAAGACTTCATTATACCTCAGTAAAACTGGTACCGCTCTTATTTAATAAAATCTTGAAGTTTAAAATTTTCTAGTCAACAAATGAATATTGCTCAATAACAGGTTATATAAATTAATTGAATAAATCTAAAGTGCAAAATCTGAAAAAAACAGCACATTCAAAAATTAGAGATATGCTTTAGATTCTAAATGAATTTTTTGGTTTTTTTGTTTTATAACTACTGCAAAAATATAATTTAAAAAAACTTAACAGGAAAATATTGGATATTTTTAGAAGAATTACTCGAGTATGTTACAAATTTTTTCATTTCATAATTAATTTCATTTTTTCATTTCTCCTTCGTAAAACTATTATCCCTTTCATTTAATAACTTCTTAAAATTCAGAATTTTCTGGTCAACAAAATGAATATTAGTCTTTAATAACATTTTGCACATTTTTAATATGAAACAGGTCATATAAAACTTAATTCATATAGAACTTAGTATATTCATATAGAGCTTTAATATATTTTTAAGGATTAGAATTACTAAAGGGCTAAATAATTACTTGCCCTTCAATAATTGTTAAAACTTTTACAGCTTTATTAATTAATTATTTGTTATTAGAAGATAATTTAAGATAATCATGATTTTTGACAATATGCAAAATGCGTAGGTAAGTTTAATTAATAACTAAATTTTTTTTTATACTTTATTATGGCAAATATTTTTTATTTTCAAAAATTCTTCGTCTACACAATAATTCTAAATATATATATATATATACATGTATATATATATATATATATATATATATATATACATATATCATAATATGGTGAAAAAATATTAATTATATGTAGTTAAAATACATAAAAGTTGATATTATACTCTTATACAAAATATAATTTTATTTATAGAAACATAAAATAATTTTATTTATTATGCACATGCAAATGTGTACATATATATGTAATTAACTTTTACGTTTTAATTATATTTTGTTTCAAATAAATTTTTCAAATTCTAAATTTCATATTTTTATCTATTAAAACAAAAAAATTTTTTTTTAACATTCCCTTTTGAAAAATAGAAAGTTTTACCTTTAACAATTTTTGTATTGTTTTTTTTTCTTTCTTAATTATATTTATTTTGAAATTTGTTAAAAATATTAACATTTCCTTATTTAAATTTATTACCTAAAAAGATTTTTCAATTAATTAATTAAGATATAATTAGCGAGCGAAGTTTAGATGTTATTGAAAATTTGATAATTTCATTTATTTATTTTTTTAAATTATATCTTAATAGACTACTGAAATAATTTTTATGTAATAAATTATAAATTTGTTCAAACTAGGAAATTATACAATTTTAAGTTTTATATTATTTTTTTTTTGCTTAAATTTCAATTAATAAGTACATACATAAATAAAATATAATTTGCTTTTTTTTTCAATACAATTTCAAATATTTAAGGTACAGATTTTTTTTGTACTCTTAATTTATATATTAATATTTGAATGAACATTGCATAAATCTATTTCGTACATAATTATATTAAATAAATTTGTTTATAAAGAATTCAACAAAATATTGAATGAATAAAATAATTCATTAAGTTTTTTTTTTTGAATGCCCTTACAAACTATGCTATATAGCAATGTTTATGAAATATATTTTTTTACGAAAAAAAATTTCAAAGAAAAAATAATATTATAAATATTAAGTTATTTTATATAATAATATATGAAAATAGATTTAGAAACAGTTTGATAAATCAAAATTTTAGAAAATTAATTTAAAAGAATAAATCATGCATGATGCAAACATACAACATACACGGTCAAATCATTTCATAAAATTTTCAATATTTTAATTAAAATTTCTTAAATTTTATTAATATTTATGTTTTAATAATGAAATATCTATGTATTTCATATTTAATATAAATTACAATTATGTTTTATATTTTATTACATATAATTTATACAGTTATATGAAATTTAGAATAAAATATTTAAAAAACAAAAAATTTAATAATAAAAGAAATAAGTAATTATTGAAAATCAGTTTATAATCATTTAAAGAAGGAAATTGTAATGTAAGATAATTAATGTAAATAATACATGTATATATATATATATATATATATGTGTAAAATAAAATAAAAAAAATGCGTTGAATAATTTAATTAATAAAATGAAAAAAAAAAAAAAATTAAAAAATAGACTAGAAAAAAGCTCAATTTTTAATAATAAAATTTCTAAGAACAAGAACAAAAAAAGAATTACTTTTATATTTCAATAATTATAAATATTAGATTAGTTTTTAAATTTTGTTTTCTTAATTTAAATGGTGTCATAAAACTCATTAACCACTTCTTGTTTTTTAATTGCAATCATTTATTTTAAAAACTTACAATCTAAAAAGAGAAAATTTGTTTTTTTTTTTGTTGTTTTTTTAATTTTTTCGAAATATTTATAAGTAAAAGCATGTTTAAAATGTAATATTTTATGTTATTAAAATATAATTACATATTTAATAACATAATTTATATTATTAAGAGTATAATATTTAATTGATAATAAATTCGTTGTTAAAAGAAATTAAAAGAAAAAAAAAACATAAATAATTAATTAAATTTTCAAAATTGCACACATCTTTTATTAATAACTTTAATTATTATATTAAAAAAAAAAAATGAATTACTTTATGACCCAGAAACAGAGAATTTCAATTAAAATTTTAATATAAATTGAATATTAATTTTTTCGATTGTTTTTTTATTTCTTTTTATTTTGTAAAAATAATTCAATAGATTGCATATAATTTTAATATTTTTCATTTAAAAAATTTTTATTTTTAATTTAACAGTTCACATTTATTTTTATAACATTTATGTAATCATGATTTTATAAAAATTTTCCTTCTCGTTGTTTTTGTTCTTAAAAATAAAAATTTTAAATACACACATAATTGATTAAAACGCTAGTAATATAACTGTTTGGTGAATACAATTACAAAAATTAAATAAATTTTAAATACAATCAAAACATTGATAATCTTTTCATTTCAACTGTTTCTAGGCCATTTTGTTAGAAAAATAAAAATAAAAATCAATTTAACACAGCAAACTTTTAAAAATATTACATTTTTTTTTCGGTTTTTAATTTTAGATTTATATTATAAATTATATAACATGTACGTTTTTCTGTGATGTTAATTAATAAAAAAATATTTTATTATAGTTGGTATTTTTTTATAGATTTTTAATTTCGATTTCATGAATAGAAATAATATGTTCAATACAATAGCGCGTATAATATTGTTTACATATTGTACATATTATATAATAGTTATAAAATATAATTTAAAAAATACATAAATCTTAAATTTTGATAATTAAATTTTTAGAAGTTTAAAATTGAATTATTTTTAACGTGTTCAATTAAAATTTCGTTTTTTTTTTGTTTCTAAACTATTATGAAAAAAAATTCGATCAATTGACAAAAAGAAAAATAAGTATAAAAAATATAAAACTCCCATTTATTTTTTAGGTTGTTGTTTTTGCTTTTGTTGTTGATTTTGCTGTTTTCCACTGTTATTACCACCACCTTGTCCACCTTGTTGCTGTTTTTGTTGTTGACCAGCTGCCTGTTTACCAGATTGTTGTGGTTTTCCTGGTCCTTGAGGTTGGTTTTGTTGTGGTAACTGAATGGGCGGTGAAGTTGGAGTTGGTGCTGCAGCTGCATTCGAAGGAACAGGTACACCAGGTGAAGCAGGATTTGGGGAAGTTGGCGTTGAAGGTTGTTTATTAGGAGAAGCTGAATTTTGTTGATCGGATTGACTGCTAGTCCTTTCTTTTGATTTCTGTTGCTCACTTTGACTGTTAGTTCTTTGTTTTTGTTGCTCGGATTGACTATTAGTTCTTTGTTTCTGTTTTTGCTGCTGTTGTTGTTTTTGTTGTTCAGATTGACTATTGGTTCGCTCCTTTTGTTTTTGTTGCTGTTGTTGCTTCTGTTGCTCAGATTGACTATTAGTGCGCTCCTTTTGTTTTTGTTGCTCAGATTGACTATTAGTGCGCTCCTTTTGTTTTTGTTGCTGTTGTTGCTTCTGTTGCTCGGATTGGCTATTAGTGCGTTCTTTTTGCTTTTGCTGTTGTTGCTGCTTTTGTTGCTCAGATTGGCTATTAGTGCGCTCTTTTTGTTTTTGCTGTTGTTGTTGCTTCTGTTGCTCGGATTGACTATTGGTGCGCTCTTTTGGTCTTTGTTGCTGTTGTTGCCTCTGTTGCTCGGATTGACTGTTAGTTCTTTCTTTTTGCTTTTGTTGTTGCTGCTTTTGCTGCTCAGATTGACTAGTAGTTCGTTCTTTTTGTTGTTGTGGTGGCTGCTTTTGCTGCTCAGATTGACTAGTAGTTCGTTCTTTTTGTTGTTGTGGTGGCTGCTGTTTTTGCTGCTCTGATTGACTACTAGTTCTTTCTTTAGATTTTTGTTGTTGCTGTTGCTTTTGTTCCGATTGGCTATTTGTTCGTTCTTTGTGTTTTTGTTGTTGCTGTTGCTTTTGTTGCTCAGATTGACTAGTAGTACGTTCTTTTGCATTCTGTTGCTGCTGTTTTTGCTGCTCAGACTGACTAGCAGTTCTCTCTTTTGGCTTTTCATGTTGCTTTTGTTGTTCTGATTGGCTGCTAGTTCTTTCTTTAGACTTCTGTTGCTGCTGTTGTTTTTGTTGTTCAGATTGACTATTAGTTCGTTCTTTCTGTTTTTGCTGCTGCTGCTTTTGCTGTTCCGACTGACTAGTAGTCCTTTCTTTAGGTTTTTCTTGCTGTTGCTTTTGTTGCTCTGATTGACTATTAGTTCGTTCTTTTTGCTTTTGCTGCTGTTGCTGCTTTTGCTGTTCTGACTGACTAGTAGTCCTTTCTTTAGGTTTTTCTTGCTGTTGCTTTTGCTGCTCTGATTGACTGCTAGTCCTTTCTTTAGCTTTTTGCTGCTGTTTTTGTTGCTCCGATTGACTTGACGTTCTCTCCTTTTGTTTTGGTTGTTCAGCAGTTTTCTGTCCTTCAGTTTGTTGTTGAGGCCCAGGTGATTTTGATTTGTCTTTAGGTGCCTGAGCTTGTGATTGTGGTCCTGGAGATTTTGCTTTCGGTTGACCAGATTGTTGTGGACCTGGTGACTTAGCTTTTTGTCCTGATGGAGGACCTGGTGATTTAGACTTAGCTTTCTGTTGTTCACCTCTGCTTTGTGGTCCTGGTGATTTTGCTTTTTGGTTATTGGCTTGAATTGGTTTTATTTCAGCTTTTTTTAATGATTCTTCAACTTGGGTTGGCTCTTTAGATGGTTCTTTTTTGGATTCTTCTGGTATTTTAGGAACTTCTTTAGGTGGTTCTTCAATTTTAGGAGCTTCTTTAATTTGTTCTTGAAGCTTGGGAGCTTGTTTAATTTGATCTTCCAATTTGGGAGATTTCTCAGGCTGTTCTTGCTTGTTGGGGGCCTCTTTGGATGATTCCTGTTTTGGAATTTCTTTGGGCGGGTCTTGAGGTTTGGGGGTTTGTTTAGGTTGCTCTTGGGATTTGGGAGCTTCTTTGGATTGTTCTTGGGATTTAGCAGGTCCAGAAGGCAGTTCTTGTGTCTTCGGAACTTCTTTAACTTTTTCTTCTATTTTGGGAGATTCTTTGACTTGATCTTGTAATTTAGGAGATTCTGATGATTTCAGAGGTTCTTTTGGTTGTTCTGAAGGCTTTACAGCTTCCTTAGGTTGCTCTTGCGGTTTAGAAATTTCTTTGGGTAGTTCTTGCAATTTAGGAGTTTCTTTACCCCTATCTTCTGGTTTAGTAACCTCTTGTGTTTTAGCAACTTCTTTGATTTGTTCCTGCAATTTGGGAGTTTCTTTTGGCAATACTTCCAATTTTGGAACTGCTTTGGCTTTTTCATCAGCTTTTACTTGCTCTTGGGATTTAGATTTTTCTTGTTGTTGTCCTTGTGGTTTAGAAATATCTTTAGCTTGCTCAGTGACTTTGACTTGTTCACTAGGTAAGTCTTTTGGTTTTCCTTGCTCTTTTGGTGTTACTTTGGAGTTCTCTTTGGACTGTTCTTGGGACTTTTCACCTTCTTTAGGATGTTCTTGTGGTTTAGAAGCTTCTTTAGACGGTTCTTTCTGTTTATTCGCTTCCTTAGATTGAGCTTGCTGCTTCGGTCCTTCTTTAGATTTTTGATTTTTATTATGTTTAGCATCTTCTTTAGGTTTTTCTTGAGTTTTTATAGGTTCTTGTTGTTTAACCCCTTCTTTAGATGGTTCTTGTTTCTTGGAAGCTCCTTGTTCTTGCTTTTTGGGTCCCTCTTTCGGTGATTCAATGACAGTATCTTTCTTTTTACCTTGATTATCCTTTTTCTTTTCCTCACCTTTTACTTTTTCATTTTGTTTTTTATTTTGATCTTGTTTTTTATTATCTTGTTTTTGATTTGATTTTTGTTGCTTCTGTGATTTCGATTCGCCTGCTTCTTTTGGCTTCTGTTGATTAGGCTTTTCTTGAGTAACAGCTTTTTTAGCCTCCTCCTTAGTCTCTGAAACTTTTCCAACAATTTCATCTTTTGATGCATCCTCGAAATTTTCCACAAGCATTGGAACATCATCATCTTCTGTTGCATTGTTGTTCATTGATTTACCTGCAGCAGCATTAGCAAGACGTCTCAACTGAGCAACAGTGTCTTGTCCTAATTGAGGTAAAATTTCTGGTAGCATTTCCATTACCTTTTTGTTTTCGCCATGTCCAGTTATTGCAAAAGTATTAGCCGATAAGGAAGCTTGAGCTTTTGGATTATTAAAGTGGATAACACTTAAATCATCTTTGATTATGTTAACTTCTTCAATACCAGGTATATTACTAACAGCAAGTTTTTTTAATGAGCTTTGTAATTTTTTATCATCGGTAGCTGCTGTTTGATGTACAACCTTCTTCTTACGACGTGGGGTACCTTTACCACCGATTCTCACTTGCGATTGCAAACGTTTTAATTTATCAGAATTCATATTAATTTTTTTTCTTTGTTTTAAAAGCTTTAATTTTTAAATTTTATGTCCACTAAATTGAAATTCCGGATAAATTTTTAAGGAATATTCTAAAATACAATTTAAAAATAAATGTAATTATTCGAATTCTATAAAACTAAATTATTAAAATTTTACCATATAATATTCTATATAAGGTGAATTTTTTTAATTGAACTTACTTTACGGCGAAAAATATTTCTTGGTTGGGATGCACCGTTTTTCCTTTTATCTCTTATTAAAAACTATTCTATCAATAGAATTCATTTGTTATTTGCAAACTTTTTTAATTTAAAAAAATATAAATTTTTAAGTTTAATATAAAGCTGAAATTTAAATTTAATATAGAATTAAATTAAAAATTGAAGTTTCTATTGAATAATAAAATCCGGTGCACGTGTTTCACAAGTTATTGTACCCAACGATGGGAGAAAAGAAAGAATTTTCGCAAAGTAAAATAAAATTGTAAGATTCGATATTGTATAGTTATATTTTAGGAAAATACATTTAAATGAAAAAGAGAAAAGATTTTTCTTTCTAATTTTTCGTTATAAAAATAGAACATTTTTCTGTTTTTCTTGTTGTGCTTTCTAGAAGACATCTTGGTTGCTGTCAAGATTTTTTTTAAGGGCGAATATATTTTCACCGCGTAATATGAATATTATATTGATGTCAAAATTTACATACATAAATTGATAATGATCTATAATGATCTTTTTGGTTACATGATTTATCAATCATTTGTCCTGTTTCCAGATTGTATTTCAAAGCAAAAAGATTTGCGTAAAAAGCTTTATAAAATTACTGTTTTTAACCGTTTTTTTTTAGTTTCATATTTTAAAACTCAAAATTTTGATTTTTGATTTGAAATTTTAGCTTACAAACTGAATAATCATTTGATTATAAACTTTATATGAATACATGTTTGAAAAATGACGGTCAGCTTCAACCATGCTTACTTAAAATATTTACTAATAAAAATTATTTAAATTTAGTTATACAAATTTTGAAATCTATAATCTTTCGATCAGGTTAAATAATTGATGATAACATAAATATTTAATATGAATTTATTTAATATTATTTTATTAGTTAGCATTTAACATTATTATTATATTATAGTGTATCATAATAATATATAATTGGGTTTGGAATCATTGTTTTTATCATTTACATTTTTCTGAACCTATCATTCATTTTCGGTGTCATCATTAAAGCTTTTAAGGGTAGTACATACATGTACGTACATTGTATAAGATTTGTTGACTTTTATAAATTGATAATTTCTATTTTGCCTATTTCACGACGGTAGCAAAAAAAAAAACTTAATGTTAAAACATAATTAACGTAATTTGCAGACAGTCTAAATTATATTTGCATACACACAAACTACATACATACAATCAAAATTATAATTTGACTTTGAAATTTTTTCTCTTTCTTTTCGGTATAACGCAGAAATAGATAAAATTTTTAGCGGAAATGTTTCAATTATATTGGCATTGGATGGGCGCTAATAAAATATATATATGTAGGTATTTTTAATAAAAAATATAAGTACATATTTGTACATAAACGCCCTTACAAAGTTTTTAAAATATTTTTATTAAAGAACAAAAATACAATGCATACATTTAGAACCTGACCCCAATGCATACATTTAGAACCTGCGAATTATGGCATTTTATTTATTACCCAGTTTACACAAAATTAATAAACTTTTCATTGACTTTTTAATACTTATAAATTTCGTTTTCAATTAGAACTACATTATAATAATGAATATTATGTTATATTGCATAAGTGTCTTGACTCTTTTTTAGATAAATAACAGCGTACTGCATATTAGCATATTGTAATAACACACAATATACTAATGAATATAATACTAGGTATTAATATGAAAAACTTCCTTTTGGCTAATACAGCCAAAATTTTTTTTTACAGCCAAATACCTTTTATACTTTAGAGATCAAATTTTGTAGCTAATAAAAAGAAGTTGACATCGGGATCTCTTACAGCTCGTTGGGTTATTTTAGAGTTGAGTTTTTAGTTTAAATAATTTGATACAAATAAAAATGTTAAAAAAATCGACAAGTGAAGTTAAAATAAAATTTTGTATTTTGTTTTTGTTTATTAAGTTGGTGTAAGAGAGCCTATTAATATAATAACAGCGCCAATAACTAATTTCTGGATTACTGCGTTGTCTGAAGTATCATGCATTCCGATTATCGCAACGAATGTGATTTTTGATCAAATATGTCGAATCCATTAATATCCAGGCTTAGAATAGGAAGTAAATAATGTAATGGGAATTGTATAATATTTATTTGGATGGAATACTTATTTAAATACTAGTAGATATTTATATTATACAAAATTATTACCTACCAATCTATTAATATTGCATACAACTCAGGAATAGTCCCTTTCATTTTCTTCATTTTGAAAGTTGTACATACATAAATACTGGCACTTCTCCGATTGCTTATTAGTGATTTCTTATTTTGAGACTTTCTGTGCAAAGTTAAGAACAAGATACTTTGAATATCTTCAACACAATCCTTGTGTCTTTTGCCATGATTATTTTGTTTCAGCTGGGTCGTTAAAATTGAAATTTCATAACTAGATTTAGGCTTAAATGAAACGTTTCGATTTTTCTATGACAAAGATATTTTGGACTTTGTCAATTCCTTAATTATTTTTAAAAAGTTATCTGCTAACTGCATACTTTTACTGGATGTAATAGTTTAACTGGATGCTTTAACATTATAAAATTACAATGCTTCATTTCTCGGAGAAATAAACCTTGAATCATTTTACCAATATTGAGAAAAACAAGAAAGGCGAAAAAAAATTTTAAATGTTTAAAACTGAAAACGTCTTATTTTTCAATATTTCATTTTGACAATATTGATTTTAATGTCCTAAGTATCACATTAAAAACACTGCATCAACGCAGTCTCTTTGTGGTGTGGTCTGTACTGTAGTGTTGTGTGCTTTACAAAAATGCGCACTCTATCGGTTTTTTGCTATATAAAGTTAAAATTTATTTAAGCAACAGGTATCTGAAACAAAATATGTATGAATGAGTAAATAACTATTGAAATTTAGGATTTGAACTACTACTACCGGCTTATTTAGTAGACCGGACTCCGGCGGTAGATTCTATAAAGTATGTGAACGTACTGCCTGACTATTATCTGAGTAATAGGTAAATTAGTATTTTAGTAAATTAAGTCAAAAACTGTAATAAAACTAGTAGAATTCCTTACAATAATATTTTATATTGAAATTAATTTGTATTGGAACCATATTGAATTGTATTTTGCATTGAACGTTTTTGATTTGGCGTCAGTATTTTTTAAGAAAAAAATTTTTATACTTACTCTTATATTAGTAGTTCTAACATATGTTTGTCACATCATTCGCTTTACATAATACTGAGCTATCAAATTTTTTAAAATTTCTTCGAAGTTTAACCATAGATATTGTATTTCTTATGGTCACTTTTTAATTTTTTAAAATTAAAATCTGAAAAGTTGTTTGGCATTGCTAAGATAATAACATTTTTCATGAGTAGTTGAGTTTACCAATTTTTTTTTTAAATCATATTAGGAACGCAACGCTATTCTATATAACTTCAGATGCACCACAACTGCAAGCCAGCAATGTTATTTGACGTATATGTATTTGAAGTCGAAGAATGTTAATTGTAATGACATTAGTTTGACAACATCAGTTCAAATTTATATAAAGATTTAAGACGTTTTAAAACGAATAAAATATTTAAAATTTCATTAAAATTGTTCAAAATTTTTTTTTAAAATGGATAAACAAATAATTCGTTTTGAAACAGAAGTAGATTGTTATGGATTTAGTCTTGAACAATTTAAGCTAGAAGGTATTAAAACTTAGCTAACAGGCACAAAACTAAAAAATAATTTTGTTTTTTAGGTAGAATTCTTGCAAAAAAAACATTAGAAAATTGTATCGATAATTTTAAAAACAAATTGATAGAGAAGTTGGAAAATGCTAATGCCTCACCTGAAACCATTGCTAAATTAAATGAATACCAATTCAATGATTTGTGTATGAAAATTTTTAATAGTTTTGAAGCACAGTTTAAGAATTTCGATGAACTTGTTGAAAGAGCATTTTCATTGTCAGAAAATATGATATATGGTTGCTATGAAAGTTGTTCAAAATTTACTGAAGCAGATGAAGAATTTTTAAAAAATGAAATACAGGAGTGCGAGTTATGGTATATGCAGGTAATCCAATTGATACATGTATACATAATTTATAAGAAAGGTAAAAATAATTATAAAATTTAATTTTAAGAATAAGTATATGTTACTTGCCATGAAGACAGAGTTAGAATCTTATAAAGACCTTGAACCTGTTATTCTTAAGGAAGCACAATTAGTTCAACATTTAGAAAATGTGTTGGAAATATTTCAAAATGATTGTAAATTAAACGATAGTTTAATTGAAACCATAAATGTTTTTAAGTAATTTTGACGAAGTAAAAATATATAAATGGTTATGCGAAAAAAAATACACAAACATAATTTTTCAATACAAAACCTAAATCTTATACTATTGCACAGTATGAATTAAAAAATTTTTAAAGTAGGTATGTAGGTATGATAATTTTTTAATCTTACATCAATTTCGAAAAACATTCATAAATATTCATTTAGCGTAAGTATAAACCACTTATACCGAATTACTTCATTAATACATATTCTATCAAGATCTTAACGTAATTAAGTAATTTTTGTCTACTAATTTGCCCTTTCTGAAGCGTATTACAAAATTTCGAATTATGTATTTTTATTTTTTCATCGTGATTGAAATTTTTAACATTTTGCTATTCAAAATAATTAACTCTAGTTAAAATTGTTTAAAATAACAATATTACAGGAATTCATGTACATGTTCTTGTGCAGTTATTATCATCCTCTTAAACGTAAACATTTACCGAATCTGTCACGTTTCGGACAACCGGTCAAATTTAAAATTCTGTCATCAAGTGCCATTGTCGTACTTTCTGTTTCGTTATTTATTCTATTTGAAGTTGATACAAAACTTGTTATTTGCTTAGATTTCACTTTTTGTTCTTCTATGATTCTGTTTCTTATTTCCTTATATTCATCAGGAAAAAAAATGTCTTTTTCTTTTTTAATTAACTTGATTTTCTTAATAATGCTTTCCTCAGATTGTTCAAAAATATCCTTTTGTTCAATTATGTGTTCACAATTTATTAAATTTATAAAGAAAAGAAGAAAATATAATTTTGATAGAAGTTTAACGGAATTATTCAATACCATTTTTATGATTAATCATTGATGTCTAATAAAATACTAAAAAATTAAATAAAATAACTATAAATGTAAAACATTAATAGTGTAATATGAATGACATCATCGAAAAAACCACAGAACATTGTGCATACACAAAATATGTTAAAAATTTTATCATAACTCATGGGAATAACCAAAAGTAGGAGGATAATAAAAGAGCTTTAAATACGCAATTACATATTTATTTAGTAGAATTTTGAAAGGAAAATAAAAGATTTATGTAGTTGAAATCGAAGAAGTAAAGTAAGAGAATAATCCCTCTTATCTCATGGAATATTAATTTTAGTTCCGTAAGTTTAGTTAAAAATTTTTTTTGGATACGCTTTTGTTCTATGCAAAAATTGATTTTAAAAATGTATTATATTTGTTGCAATTAAGACTTCGGGGCGTAAATTTTGGTGCTTTTTATGTAATTGTAATATAAAAAGCATTATTTAGTATCAATAAAATATTTAGGTAAGTAAACAATAAAGAAAAGAATATAATTCTTAATTAAAAGTCATAAAAAATAAAAGTTGAGAATTATTTTGCTCTTTAATTATTACAAAATAGTACTTTTATGAATGTTACAATTAAAATTGTGGGTTTGTAAAAACAACTACCAATCTTCAATATTTAGATTTTCAACTTCATCATTTATATTAACTTTTTCTTTTGCAACTTTTGGCTTTGCTTTCTTTTCTTTGCCTTTGTTTATTATTTTTTTTGTTTTATTTTTAGTTTTATTAGTTTTTTTATTGTTTTTACTGTTTTCTTTATCATTTCGTTCCACAATATTTTCCTCCTCGCTTTCGCTTTCTTTGCCAAAGAAGTCATCTGAATCACTATCAGAATTTACGTTTAGATCTCCGACATCTTCATTCAATTTTTTCTTTTTTATTACAGGAATATTAAATTCACTTATTTCAGATGTATTTGCGGCTTGCCTTTTTCTTTTAGCTAAATAAGTTTTAGACCAGTTTTTGTAGAACAAGCTTAAAGGAGTGCCTTTATTTCGAATAGTTGACTCCCATGCATTAATTTTTGCTGTTTCACTTAAGTTAAAGTTAACACTCTTCCTTTCACTTTCTATAAATTTCGAATTTTCTTGTATTTTATCCAAAAGTTGCTTTAACTTTCGATTTGTATTACTATCTTTATTATGTTTAATGAATTTTCTTAGTAGCATAACTGATGGTACAATTAAATCAGGATAAGCTATTGAAGCTGACAGATGGTCTAAATATTCGTACGTTAACGAACAAATTTGATCAATTACTTCTTTTTTGAAATTATTATCATTAATTTGACTTTTGCTAACACGAAGTATACATGTAAAATCCAATGCCTTGAAAGACTCACCGGTACTTGATTTTTTGAAAAGATTTCCTTTTAGTATTTCAAAAATAAATGGAAGTATCGGTATAAATACGTTTGCTTGTTTTGACAATATTATGAGAGCTTTAATACAATGAAATCGCAATGGATAAAATTGTATTGTCGGTGTACATTTAATTAAGCCAATTGTTAAATTAACTAAAGGATAAACCAAAGGTTTTAAATCTGGTTGCTCTTCACTAAAACCCAACATTTCTGCCCAAAATTTAATAGAATTAACATATTGCCAATTATAAATTGCTTGATATGATTGCTTCTTTTTCAATATAATAGCATTTCTCAAATGAATTGCCAATTGTCTAATGTAAAGAAAAGCATGCTGGTATGCAAGTTTTGTATCCAATAAAAACAATTCAATCAAAGAACGACGCATAAAATTTATGCCAGCTAAAGTGTTGGGGCTTACAAATTTGCAATTTCTTATATAGGAAATGTACATCGCTTTCAAAACATGATTTAATAAAATTTTCTGCTGACTTCTAGTAATTTTCAAAATACACAAAAATGAGAGCACTCGTACGGGATCTTCTTGTGACGTACTCCATAAATTGATTAAAGTTTTTAGTAATGATTTTGAAACAATTGAGAAGCTTGAAACAAAAGACGACATTTGATGTAAGTGTTTTAGAAGTAATGTAGTCATATACGCATTGGTGGTACGTTCCATTAGGCCAGCTACATTAACAAAATAATGTCTAAGAGAATTTTTTACTTTACGCCATTTATCACTTTTTTGTAAATTTTTGTTAGATTTTTCATTTATATCTAAATATCGATTCATGCTAGGATATAAATGTACAATGCACAATTGAATCGCTGCATTAAATGTAGATGGATTTTCGATTTTGTACATTGACTTTTTTGTTTCATCATCTGAAATACTATTCAAAGCAGCATTAAAGGCTGACATAGCATTTTGTATAAATTTTGCAGTGGGATTGGGTTTCATCAATTCATTTTGCCATTCTTTAATGATTTTCAATGTTATTTTACCAGTATATTCAGCAGGTTTATCTTCTTCATCTTCACTTTCGTCTTCTTCTTCTTCATCACTTGCTACTTCTAGCATAGATGCAGGAATGTGGATATTTTCATCATTATTGGTTTCAGGATTTTCCTCATCATCTGATTCATCTAAATCAAAGTTTAGTAAATTTTTATCCTTCTCATCGGCATCTGATAAATCCAACATTTCTGATTTTTCATCTTGTGGTTTTGTTTTAATTTTTTTTGAATTATTTTTGTGGTTTCTAATCGATTTCTTTTTATTTAACATTATAAAAGCTTTTGCAATTTTCAAACTAGCTCAAATTATATATAAATGAAATTTTAACAATATTTTTATTGCAAATTTAAAATAAAATTTCATACAGCACGTGTATGAAAGTTGAAATGTTTTTGTTTGTTTGGAAAATGACAACTGAGATACGCCACTTGCGGAACATATGGGTACTTCTAAAAAATGTTGCCAGCTTCTAAATATTCGTAGGGTTTCCGTTGTTTAAATCAGAGATCACTTAATGGATTTTGGGGAATCCGGGTGATAGTTATAGCTTACCGCTGGTTATTCTTATAATATCTTGTAAAAAAATAATGATTCAAAAGCTTCAAGGGCTTGAAACTCAACAGTCTGTTCGTGTATCTGCCTTTTTTCCTCACTTTTTATTTAGTTTCAAATCAGAATTCTTAGTATTTTCCAATTGATGTAACACTTTTCCAATAAGATTACTAATTTTTTCCATTGGATTTTTGCATTTTTTTTCAAATTATCGACTGAACATCTCACTTTCAAAAACAAAGTGGATAAATTTCGTATGCATTTTAGAAAACCAGATACGCAATACCAAATAATTCTCACTCGAAAATTACATTATATAAGTATATGATAGTTACTCACTTTCTTCTCAATTTCCGAGCAAAATACCGAGATGACGATCAGGCTCTAAAATTTGTCCAAAAAACGTATAATGTCAATGTCACTTCATTTTGACAGTTCGATTACGAATTTTGACATTCTTGATAATGATTAAAGCACATGAAAATTTATAAACAAAATAATGAACTTTTCCATTAGTTTCTAAATCAAATCCTGCTTTTAATTTAAATATGACTTCAAGATTAATTGTGAAAAATTTGCCGAAAAATGTAATTTGTTGGTTTATAATGTTCAATTAATTCTTAACATTATTTCGTTTTAGATTACTGAAACTAAACTTAAGGAAATTTTTGAAGAAAAAGGCTCCATTACTGATATACAGTTGAAGTATACTAAAGATGGAGTTTTTAGGCAATTTGCTTTTATTGGGTATGAAAATGAGGAAGATGCGAACGCCGCTTTAAAGTATTTCAATAATATTTTCATACAAACTGCAAAAATAAAAGTAGAACCTTGCGCTGCGTTGGGTAGCGAACAGAAACCAAAATCATGGAGCAAACATGCTGTGGACAGTAATACTTATCGTAAACTACACGGGATCGATGAATTAGAACGTGCTGAAAAGAAAAAGCAGCAATCGGAAGTTAATACTAAAAAAAAAAATAAAATTGATGAAATTGTGGGTGAGTATAAGGATGACCCAGAATTTCAGGAGTTTATGAAAGTACATGATAAAAATCGTAACTTGTGGCAAAATGATGATGACATCTTTAAAGAAATCGATAGTAAAGTTCGTGTAGAATCTAAGGGAAAGAAAGGTAACAATAATGACTCTGGTTTACTTAAAGAAAATAATATCTCAGAAAATGAAAATTATGAAAATAACAAGAGCTGGAAAGAGGATCCCAATTTGAGTTCAACAAATGAAAGTGAGAATGAAGAATCTGAAGAAAGAAATCAGTCAAAATTGGCTCTACAAAATGAAGTAAGTGATCTGGATTACATGAAATCCCTTATGAAAAAAGATCATGTCACAAAAACTGAAAAGAAGCAATCTTTGAAAGAATCTAAAAAATCAGTAGATTTATTTACAATCAAAATTCGGAATATTCCTTTAGCAATAAAAAAGAAAGATATTTTGAAATTTTTTCAACCTCTAAAACCTTTTTCTGTTAGAATCCCTATTAATTCCCGAGGTTTCTGTTATGTTGGTTTCAAACAAGAAAAGGATTTTAAAAAGGCAATGCTAAAAGATAAAAGCTTCATTAAAGGAAAACAAGTATATTTTGTTAATTTTACAGAAAGAAATAAAATTACGAAAGATAAAAAAGAACAATGCAGTAGTAACAAGGTTTTAGATACAACTGGTAAATGGGCTAAACAAGAAGGAAATCTGGAAAATGAAGAGGATATATCCGAATCTGGAAAAATTTTTTTTAGAAACCTGTCGTATACAATTTCTGAAGATGATATTCAAAATTTGTTTAGTAAATATGGGCCTATTGCGGAAATAAGCTTACCAATAGATCCTATCACTAGGAAAATAAAAGGTTTTGGAACGGTGACTTATGTGATGCCAGAACATGCTGTTTTGGCTTTTAACGAATTAGATGGAACAACTTTTCATGGCAGATTATTGCACTTGATTCCGGGGAAAGCAAACGATAATATGGAAGATCACGAAAATACAGAAAACTTATCATTTAAAGAGAAGAAAGCTTTAAAATTAAAAAAGTCTGCCGGGCAAAATCATAATTGGAATATTTTATTTATGGGGTCTAACGCTGTTGCTGATATTTTAGCCAAACAATTTGAAACAACTAAAGAAACCGTAATATTTTAATAATATATTTTTTTGCATATATGGCTTATGATAATCTATTTTCAGATTTTGGATGCTAACACTGGAGGTTCCAGTGCTGCTGTAAGATTAGCGCTTGGTGAAACTCAAATTGTTTTAGAAATGAAAAAGTTTCTTGAAGATAATAGTGTTCAATTAGATGCGTTTGAAACAACAAATAAAAAACGATCTAAAACAGTTATATTAGCGAAAAATTTACCCGCTGGTACAACTACCGATGAATTAAATCCATTATTTTCAAAATTTGGGCTTATAGGAAGAATTGTTTTACCTCCAAGTGGTGTAACTGCAATCATTGAATATTTAGATCCTTCTGAGGCAAAAAAGGCTTTCTATAAATTAGCTTACAGTAAATTTAAACATTTACCTTTGTATTTGGAATGGGCTCCAGAAAATACATTTAAGGATTCAAAAGGTAATGAAAAGTTAATTCAAGAAGTTGAAAATAAGAAAAAATCTGAGAACGGAGATGAAAATGAAAACCAAGAAAAAGAAGAACTTCAATCTTCCGTGCTGGAAAAGGAAAATATTGAAAATGTTTCTGAAGTAATCGAAGATGACAATGACAATGATGAACCAGAACCGGGAACGACATTATTTTTGAGAAATTTGAACTTTGGTACAAGAGAAGATACAGTAAAAAACCATTTCAAACATTTGGGTCCAATACATCTGGCTCAAGTAGCCATGCGAAAGGATCCAAAAAATCCAAAAAATATTACTTCTCTAGGTTACGGATTTATTCAATTCAAAAAGAGATCTACAGCTGAATTAGCACTTAAAGAAATGCAATTTACTAATATTGAAGGTAACAGAGTGGAACTAAAACGTAGTGATAGAACATTAAAGTAAGTTAGTTCTACAAAACTTCGCAATAATTGTAACAATTGGTTAATTTAAATAACTTTTTTTGATTCGTTAGAATTGATCCAAAAGCTGCGAAGAAAAAAGCTCAGAAACTTGAACAAACTGGGTCAAAAATTTTAATTAGAAACATTCCCTTTCAAGCGAAAACTAAAGAAATTTTTGAAATATTCAAGTAAGTTTATTAAGCTTGTTTGTTTCATCATATAATCATTAGTTTTGTAATTATCTTTATATCTTTATATTATCTGGTTACTTATTTTAGGGCATTTGGTGAATTACGTTCTGTGAGATTACCAAAAAAAACAACACCTGGGGAGCAATCGCTTCGTGGTTTTGGTTTCGTAGATTATTTGAGTAAAAGTGATGCAAAAAAAGCTTTTGAAACTTTAAGTGGTAGTACTCACTTGTACGGTAGAAGACTAGTTTTGGAATGGGCAAAGAATGACGAGAATGATGTAACAGAATTGAGAAAAAGAACGGCTGAATCTTTTAAAGATGGTACAAGTAAAAAATTGAAAAATTCAAACAAAGCAGTTTTCGACACCTCAAATATAGATGAAGTTTTTAATGAAAATGACGAAATGAGTTAACAAAAATAATTTATGAAATTGTTAATAAATTTGATCAAAGTTAATAATATTTTTATATTTATTATTTATTATTGGTTTTGTTTTTCGTATTCGCTTTTCCATTCTTGACTTATACCGGGTGTAGTATACCTTATGCATAATATATATGTATGTATAATATATGTACATAGATAAGTGTATCGCACTCAGGTAGAACACTGATCAAATCTACGGGTGTTTTTATATAATTGTTTTGGTTTTATTCTTTCTCTCATTGATTTTCGTAACAAATCTAGAAAACCGGTTTCTTATTAGTATTTATTCCTTCAATTTAAGAAATATATCTTTATATATGTATATATATATTTATGTAAATACCATGCGTATACACATATTAAGATTTTTTCTTTCATATTTTAATTCTATAGTAACAATTTGTTTTGGCACACTAAATAATGTAGGTACATAGTCAAATGTTTATATTCTATTTCCGTCTTTTCAGAATATAAACTTAATATTTTATAATAAAATATACAAAAGTATTAATCAGTTCGAAATGACTCTGTATTTCGATTCAAGAGTTCAATTTTTTGATAGTGATGCAGTTAGTACTGTTGGAAGATGGCACCCAAATGAACCAATTTTTGCTATAGCTTCTTTTAGTCAAGATCGTGGAGGTTCAGTCACAATTTTTGATGACTCTGTAAGAAAAATTTCATTGTAAATTCATAAAAATATTTATGCATATTAATTAATGAAAATATATTCTTAAGTGTTCACATTTTATAGTTTTGTATTAATTTTTTAAGGGTGAACCATTAAATGAAGTTACCTATCCAGTTCATCAAGTTTCTCAAGCTACTGCTTTGGCATGGCACCCAGATAATCGACTTTTAGTTGCCGGTTGGGAGAGTGGTGAAATTCATTGTTGGTTTGAAGGAAACCGCGAATTTTCAAGTGTTCAAGGACCGCACAAAGTTCCCATTATTTTAATGGAATTTAGTGAAAAAGGTGGAAGAATGGTTACAGCCGATTCGGTAACGTTTATTATACATTTATGACGTGTGACTTTTGAAATTTATATAATGCTCCTTTGTTGTAGATGGGATTATTAACTGGTTGGCGTTGTGATGGTCAGTACCAGTTTTTAACTATGTTCTCACATGATTTAAAGGATTCTTTGTTACACATAACATTTCGTAGGACGGTAGAGAGCCCTCTTAGGACAGAATTAACTAATTTGGCAAAAGCTGCTGTAGGTTAGTTACTTTTTGTGAATTTTTAGTGAAAATAAAATGTAGGGACTTACATATACACATATGTAAGTGTATTATGTTGGTAACTATGTATATACATACTTAATTATGTACATACATATGTTTGTATATACATATGTATATTTGTTCATAAATTTCCAAACAATATTTATAACACTGTGCAATATTTTCATGCTCATACACACGTAGCTGGTGATGAAGATGCGCTAGATATTTTGACTAATTGGAGACCTAGAACAGCTGCAAGAAATTTAACACATTCCGGTGTAAAAGATAATCATAGTTTTTATGTTGGAACAAGAGCAGGGATAGTCCTTTATTTTAATCAAGCTGGCATATGCACCGAAGCTTTAAAAAACAAATCGTCTCCTATAACGCAAATTTTATGGCATCCAAAAAGGTATTAAAATTACAAATATTGGCAACTTAGGCAACTGAAATGCAATGCAAATCATGGCAATTGAAATGCAAATCAATAGTGGTTTCACGTTCATTTTGGTATCAAATTATTAGTGATTTTGGTTCATTTCGGTTTTTCTGATTCGCTTTCAACACCGAGTTTCTTATACTTAACTATGCCGTAAATTTAAACCGTATAATAACTTAATACTTATATTGCAAAAATAGTATTAGATCAAATTTATATTCAAATGTTTGTATACATATACATACATACATAAATACATATCTATAATTCTAGGGATGCTATAGTTTGTCTAATGGAGGATATGACAGTTGCTCATTATTTATCAGAATCATCCGGTTCATTAACAGAATTAGATCGGGTAAAATTAAGTGGAAAAATACCTGGTAATAATGGAGAAATTTCATGGGCAGCGAACTCTTTAGCGATAATTACAGGTAATTTGAAACTTTAATTTTTAATTATGCATATGTAAATAACAAAAAACAAAAACTATTTTATCGTTATTTATGTATTCATACTTATGTATATTAATAAATAAATTCTATATTTTAGGTGATTTCACTGTTCGCATATGGGACATTGATACTAGCGATAATTTTTTATTACCTATGAATTTACCAAGTGTTGAAGGTAAAATTATTCTTAGAGTTTTTTGGTCTTACTTTGAATTGAAAGTTTAATAACTTTCTTGTTAAGAAGTTCCATATATACCTTACATATTATATATGACACTGTTTATACAAGCCGCATAAAATAAGCGAATTTTAAAGTGTATGCGTTAATCAATATTGATACTTTAAAAAAAACTTAAAAAGATTTAACATTTAATTTTTTTATTTTCTTGTTTTTTTCTATTTTGAAGATACAAAACCATTATCTGATTCAATTTTACCAGAAGGAACAAATAAAAATGGAATTTATAGTAATTCTGGAATATTACAATATACAACAAATACATCAGTTAGCCATAATACAAAAACAACAAATGAAGTATTTACGTGTATTGCTTATTGTCCAGATAATCAAACTTTATGTGCTGGAACCAATCAAGGAAATTTATATACATGGAAACGTACATCAAGTGTAGCAACAGTAGTAACATCTAGTAATTATTCAAGTGATATGCCTGAAACAACTTGGCAATTAAACAATATTTCAGCAGTAAGAGGTGCTATCAAACAATGTTATTGGGGTATAAATGAAATAATGAAACCATGTATATTAGTTAATTGTGTTTCAAATGTTTATGTACTTAAGGTAAGAAAATATAAATTATATTATAGACATATATACATACATACATATATAATATGCTCTTTTGTATTCTTAAACGGATTCCAAATTAATTTTAAAGCAATATAAAAATTTAACTAAAAAAGAAAATTGTCAATTAACTTTAATTTTATATTTAAATAACAAAACAAATTTAAGGTTTTTGATATTTTATTAAAATTCTTTCTATGTATTTAGGATTAAAGTTTTAAATTTTATTTTTTTTAGGAAAATATTTTATTATTTATTAAATAATTTTTAAATTATATTATTTATTTGTTATATATAGGAACAACCTTTATTATCATGCTATCGACGAAATATTTGGGCTGTACAAAGAAGTGCTAATCAAGTGTATGTTGAACATTCAATTGGAAAAACAACAACAGTTCATGCTGATATTTCAATAACAAATTTAGCTTTAACAGAATTAAATTTAATATTAAGTAATGGTAAAACAATTGTCGTTTATCGTATAAATAAGGATGATGATTTAGTATTAGGAACAACAGCAGTAATTGGACCCGGTGGAACAATAACTTCAACATCTACAATTGAAAATGATAAAATTTTATCAATTAAACAAATGCAAACATTTCAATGCGAATGTTTAGATGTACATATACATCAGCAAAGTAGTCAAATATATTGTTTAACAAGTCGTGATATAAAAATTTATTCATTGGGTGGTGTTGTTTTAAAGGAAATACAATCAAATGATAATGAAGGTAAAAATTAACAAGTAAAATAGATTTAAATAAATAAATTAATTGTGATGGTATTTAATAAATATAATGAGAAAAATTCTAATAATTTATGTGCACATTTGAATACTAGCTTAAAATTCTTAATAATTTATGATTAATAATTTTTTGAATTATCATATTTTAGGTCTTATACATAGTTTACCTTTATTGTGTCTCAAATCATTTAACAATTTTTTAAAATATATTTCTATATTATGCATCCTATGTTAAATTGACAGAGCAATGAATTATTTTTAGATCACATAAAATTACATATAAGAGGCGAAGTTTAAAATATTAGATGAGTGGTAATAATTAAAATTAGTTTATTTTTATGCTGTTAAGTTGTTTGGCATTATTGTGAATCCCAGTTATGAATTGCTGCACTTTAGAGTGAAATAAATTTAGTTTATTTTGTAAGTTAGTATTAAGGTTACTAGATTTATAAGCTTTTAAATTTTTTTATTCTATCATAATTAATGGTTCAACATAATCAATTAATTGAACAATCTTGTTTAACATAAATAATTGTAAATTGCATTTCTTATATAACAATAATTATTACAATACGTTAAAAAAATTATTCAAGTATCCTTAAATTATTTAGACTATTTTCCTATATGGAAAATGGAAGACGATATTATTTTTTCTGGTATCCAAAATTTATTTAGTTTTATAGTTATTTACTTGTAGAAATGTTATATAAAGTTTTAATTTCATCTAAAAATAATACTCATAATAATATATATAAATATATACTATTCTTATATACAAATAATATACATACATATATGTGTATACATGTGCAACAATATTCTCATAGGGTCATTTTCATATCCTTAAGTCTTCCAATAATTACTTTTTTATATATTTCATAATATGATGTTACATGAATTCGCTTTGAAGCGTTTTCTACACACAACAATTATTTTTAATTTTGCAATAGTGAAACAAGTCCCAAGGCAATAAGTTTCATTTGAATTCTTAATTTACTATAAATATTTGGCTGCAATATTGATCCGTTGTGCTAATATAAAAAATTATTATAATGTAGCTAAAATATAAGAAATATACATATATGGGAAAATAAATTTTATAAAAAGTTATTGCAAAACTTACATTAACTGCAATTGAAATTTTTTTAAAAATTTTGTACATCTTCCATTCAATTTCAAATTTATTGCAAATTTTGCAAAATGTAAAAGAAGAACAAAGTGATTTTAGCGTCTTTTAAATATTGGCACCTTTACTGTTTCTCCTTAATTAAGTAAAAACTATATTGTGCACACTGTCGGAGTTGAATTACTTGTGAAAGAAATAATATATATGTAGATGATGTTAGATTCAACTAAGTGTTTTACTAGTAGATTAAACTTACGTATTCTATTTAAAATGTATATTAAATATTAATTAACTTATACAATAAAATACTTCCCATTATTTAAATGCTATTTGAATTTTTAGATTTAGAACTAATATACATTTTCATTTTTTCATTTACAGGAAAAGTTATTGGTTGTGATATTACCAGTCATTATTTAACGATTTTCACAATGAATGGTTATATAAAACTATTTGATATTTCAAGGCATGAACCAAAACAAATGATTAATCCAAAAAGTGGTTATGATTTATTTGAAAGTTTTGGTGAATTTATTTTAGCAAAATGTAATTCAAATGGTAGTCAATTGGCATTGATAATTGCAAATGAAAGTTTAATGCCTGATGGTAAAATATATTGTTGGGATTTTGAACGTGATATTATACGATCATATGATTTTTTAAAAGATTCTAATAATAATGATAAAAATATTGATGAAAATAATAGTGACAATAATGATAAAATAAGAATGCTACAACAAAATTCTAATGATAATAATTTAAATAATAGTAACAATAAATGGATAGCAAGGTAAATATTAAATATAAAAATTCAATTCAAATTTGTATATTGAGAGCTTATACTTAGTTTAATTTTATTTAATACTAAAAATTTTAAAAATCCACTTATTAATAAACCAATAACATCCGTAAGCAAATCTCTTACAAATATTTAATTTATTTAAATTTGTTATTTAATAATAGGTTACCAATTAATTTTTATTGGGATACCGATGATAATCGATTATTAGCTATAGAAGCACGTTCAATTCATCATCAACAATCTCAATCAAAAAAATTTAATGGTGCATTAATAAATAAAGATGAATCTAATAAAAAATTAGAAAATTATATAAAAGATACAAAAATTTCAACAATGAAAACAGAAGAACGTGGTGAAAATTTAAATGGTACTATTAATAATCATATTGGAGCAATTGGTGGTACAAATGAAATATCAGGATTAATTACAGATACACAAACATTTGTTATGTTTACAACTGAAAAATGTTTTATTAAATTATTAGAAATTATTAATTTGCCGCCAGGAGAACAATTGGTTAATCTTTGTACACCGAATGTGGTAATGTTTACTATTTAAAAACTATAATTGCTTATAAAAATTTTTATTAAATTATAAAAATTTTTAAATTTTAGATTACATTAAATATTAGTATTATAAATCAAATAACATTACGAGATTTTAAAGGTTTAGAAAATTGTGATGAAAATACTCGAAAAATGGTACTGGATTTTAGTTTAAATGTTGCTCTAGGGAATATGGATATGGCATTTCGGTGCGTATACAGAAAATATACACAAATATTATTCATATTGATCTTTTAGAAAAGATTTAAATTTTTTTTTGCTTTATGTGCTCATATTGTGTGTATGTGTACTTTATATGTACAATTTTGTATTATTAACAACAAAATTTCGGATCTAAGTTCTTTTTAAAATCAAATTTTAGTTATTTTTATTTACACAAAAAAAATTCTTTTTGTTTATTTTCATATGTAGATGCATCCGGTCAATACAATCGGAAGTTGTATGGAAAAATTTAGCAAGAATGTGTGTACAAACCGGACGTTTAGATGTGGCAAAAGTATGTCTGGGACATTTAAAAAAATCACAAAGCGTTAGAGCATTACGTCAAGCAATGGAAGATGATACATTAGAGAAGGATGCTAAAACAGCTGTATTAGCTATTGAATTAGGTATGATTGATGAAGCACAAACTTTATACCGGAAATGTGGACGATTTGATTTGTTAAATAAATTGCTACAAGCATGTGGAAAAATTGATGAGGTAAAAAATTTTTGCTTTTTTTTTCGAATTTTTTTCTGAATTAAGGCATTTATATATACGTTAATAGTAAAATGAAAAGCTTGTACACATGTTTTTTTAATTCAACAATTTTTTTCTTCTATACATTCTATAGAATTAAATATTTTGAATATAGTTTTCAAAATGTTCTTTATATCGGCATAATAAAATCATACTATTGCATAGTTATTTTGTATTGAATGAATTTTTTGAATTTTCATTTAGGCTCTTCAAATTGCTGAACAAGGTGATAGAGTTCATTTAAAAAATACTTATTTTAAAAAAGCTGAAATATTACGTGATAAAGGAGATATCAAAGGTGCACTAGAATATTATGAAAAGACTCAAAATAAAGTACAAAATGTTACTCATTGTTTATTGGATGATCCAGCAACATTAAAAGTATGTTAAAAAATTCAAAATATGAAACTTATATCAGAGCATTCAGTATGAGTGATTTGAATTAATGAATTTATTTTAATTTTAGAAATATATGCAAAATACAAAGGATCCGGAAATGTTAAAATGGTGGGGACAATATATTGAAAGTACTGGTGATATGGATTCTGCATTTAAAGTCTATCAAAAAGCAGAAGATTGGTTTTCACAGGTAATTAATAAATGCAGTTGTTACTTTAAATAACAATGATAAATTAGTAAATTTTAAAATTTTGTTTTATTAGGTAAAAATTTTATGTTTTCTTGGTCAATTATCGAAAGCTGATTCAATTGCCCGTCAATCTGGTGATCGTGCAGCATGTTATCATTTAGCACGTCACTATGAAAATATTGGAAAATATCAAGAAGCTATACATTTTTACACAAGAGCTCAAACATATAGTAATGCTGTACGTATTTGTAAAGAAAATGATTTTCAAGATGAATTATGGACAGTTGCTAATTCAGCAAGATCACGTGATAAAGCGATTGCTGCTGCTTACTTTGAAGAATGTGGTGTTTATAAAAAAGCTGTTGAATTATATCATCGTGCAGGAATGTTACATAAAGCAGTAGAAATGGCATTTGCATCAAAACAACCAGAAACCTTGCAAGTAATTGCATCTGAATTAACAGCTGATTCTGATCCAGAATTAGTAAATCGATGTGCAGAATTTTTCATAAGTATTGAACAAGCACCAAAAGCTGTACAATTATTAGCAAAATCAAAACAATTTGAACGTGCTATAAAAATATGTAATGATTTTGGTGTACCCATGACTGAAAGTTTATCAGAATTATTAACACCAAATAAAGATGAAATTGAAGAAAGTTTAAGACAACATTTATTATTACAAATTGGTGAATTATTGCAAATTCAAGGTGATTATCATACAGCAACAAAAAAATTTACTCAAGCTGGTGATAAAGTTCGTGCAATGAAAAGTTTATTAAAATCTGGCGATACAGAAAAAATAATATTTTTTGCTGGTATGTCAAGACAACGTGAAGTTTATATAATGGCTGCTAATTATTTACAAGCATTAAATTGGCAAAATGATCCAAAAATATTAAAAAATATTGTAACATTTTATTCTAAAGGACAAGCATATGATTCATTAGCTAATTTTTATGCGACATGTGCTCAAGTTGAAATCGATGAATTTCGTGATTATGAAAAAGCTTTAAAAGCAATGCAAGAAGCTGCAAAATGTTTGAGTAAAGTTGCAAATACACAACGTGCTGCAGATAATTTACAAAATACAATTGTTGAAGTTAAAAATGTATTAAGTATTCAAGAAGCATTAGAATCCGGTGATAATCAATCAGTGATTGCCGGTTGTCGCAATATGTTAGGTGAGATGAATAATAAGATCTATAATAATAGTATAATAATTTTATTTTAAAATTTGAATAGTGAAACCAGAACGACCACCAATACGTCAATCAGATATATTAGCAATGTTAGTACAAGCACTTGCTTATTCAAAATTATATGTTGAAGCAGTTGGTGCATTAAGAGAATTAGCATTAAAGGATCCTGCCTGGAGTAGTCGAGGTTTATTAGATAAACAATTGGTACAAAAAATTGCAAAAGAATGTGACATGGATTTTGAAGCTATTTGGGCATCAGGTTATAGACATTTACAAACTGATGAAGATCAAAATCCAGAAAATTTAAATGATGCAGAAGAAATACAAGAGCACATCGAGTAAAATATTTTTAGAATTATAATATGCAAAATATTCAAGTCATAAAAATTTAAAATTTTACAAAGTTTTTATTTGTTTTTTTAAGTTTCAATTAATTATTAAGTAAGAATATTTTAAAAATGTGGTAAGACCATGTAGAATCTTGTCATTTTTTTTTATTTTAAAGTGTGTCATAATTTTTTTTTTTAGTTTTTCATCTTAATAAAACGTATGTATTGAATAATAAAGTTTAAATGTTGTGGTTTAATTTGCTTTGCATGAAAATTACTACTGAAATGTTTTTTAATCTAAATTTAACTTTCTTATTAGTGTAAATAATGTTTAAATTCTTCATTATTCATTGTTAATAGAATTAATTTATACCATTCATTAATATTTTAATAGAAATATTAAGGCTTTTTATATCGTTAAATAAATTCTCCAAAGTTTTCTACTTAAAAATTAATTTGTTATACAGTCATGGTAATTTAAATGATGATATTTTGTTTGGTGAAACAATATTCTAAAATGTTAAACTCTGTAGTTGTAATAATGTTATGCCTTTTAAATTGTAATTATAAGAAATTTTGAAAATTTGTGTTCCGTATGCCTTTCGGTCAACATAAATTTCATATATAGCACATAATATTTAAGTATCCTAAAGGTTAACGTACTTCAAACAAATTAAACAGGGAACAGATCATTCACATTACAGAAAAAAAAATTTTTTTTTATATATTTTGTTTTGATTTGTTTAAAGCGATGTAAGAATTAGCAAAAAATTTTAAATATAATTTATTTTAATCCTAATTTTAGCCGTATTCAAAATTCGAATATTAACCAACTCTTGTGTATCATTGCTTACATACTTGTGTTAATTGTATATCAAAACATCCTGGGTATATAAACTTTGACTTTATCAGGACTGTTTTAATCTTTTTAATATCCTTAATGTGTCCTTTGTTTTTTTTTTTTTTTTTTTTTTGAAGCAAAAGGGAAGAAAAACAAGCAAAATTATAAAAAATTTAAGTAAAACACATTGCAAACGAAGAATCCTTAAGGATTTATTTATTACCCATTGGAAAAAACAGGAATTTATTAATTTCTGTTTTCTAACTTATTTACTTCGTTTTTTTTATAACGCAGAATTTATAGGTATTTTTCTCTGTGTTGAGGGATTTAATAATAATATAGAAAAATAAGGACTTTGGCTTCACTTTTAATTCTCAAATGAAATTACGACATATTTTTCATTTGTTATCGTTTTTCTTTTTATAAAAGAAATCATGAACATTTGTAAAGATAATTTTAGATTTTTGATGTTTTGATCTTTACAACTGATTTGGTCCTTTTTTTTGTTTGCAAAGGGTCACTACACTACACACTGATCTAAATGAGTTCAAAAATTTTTTAAATATTTGCTTGTCTGTATTTTATTTTTTTTTTTATCCTTTTGAATTACTTTTATCTTGATTGCTTAATTATTTTCAACGGGATTCTTTTTATCAGTACGCGGAAGTTTTGTTGCGAAATAAAAAGTTTGTCTCATAAATTTTTGCCAAAAAATTTTTTTTAATACTAATCGTAAATTAAATTTTTCTCTCATTTAAAATTTATTTCTTTATAGATTATTGCTTAAAGCGATAAAGTTTAAAAGAATTTTTTGTAAAAATAAGATTTTAAAATATTTTGTTTACCAAAGATTTAAATTGCAATTATTTAAATTAGGTAAATTTTTTAAATTATTTATTGAAATAGAATTAAATTTATAAGAAATAAATGTTTTATGCATGAATAAAATTTTGTTCATTTAATTCTAAGAACTCGAGTACAGAATTTGTGATTTAATCAATAGTTTTAAATTAACTTAATGGGTCTACGCAGTACCTTTATGTACATATAGTAGATAATATTATGTACTCCTAGTGAAGTCTCATATCATTAATGTTTGAAATTATTATTGTATACTGGTAAATTAATCTTTTACTTAACCGAACAAATGTACACCTATTACTTATACACTGGAAAGTACATGAAACTGCTCACTAAGTTTACTAAGTAAATCATTTTAAGGCTTTTTAAGATTTAGTACATTATGAAGGTTCTAATTCATTTATTAATGAGATTTTCATTCAAACTTGGTCGCAAATATAGGAGAACGAAAAGTGTATTAAATCCTTAAAATTAATCTATATAATAAATTTTAAATTCATTTTCAAATTAAATTAATTCTGTTAGTAATATGGAGTAACTTTAATAAAGTACAAATATTTTAGGCCCCCAAATATTAATGTTAAAATTTGTTATTGCATTTCAATTTATTTTTTTACAAATTGTTACAGTAGACATAATTATTGTAAATTGCAGTATACATGCGTCTTATGTTGATTTTCAGGCGCATTTAAAATCTTAAGACTGTAAATCTTAAGTGTTTTGAATTCTATTGATTGTTAATTTTTGTTAAATTTTTAATAAATTCTTTTATAAAATATGATTAAAGAGCACCACATATGAATACGAATTTTAAATTCCTTATATTTCTGCCTTGACTCGTCGTTTTGGGTTTGTTATCTATCTGTTCTGCAGTTTTGTGAAAGAATCGTTGTTTATTTACCTTTCTCTTTTTGAATTTTATATAAATATATAATATCTTTGTAAGTATCCTTTGTAAAATTGTAATTTCAATATCAAAAATAAATTTCATATTAAAATATCGGTAAAATATCCTTTTTTTCTTGCTTATAGCACAATATAAAGAGTCGATTAAATTCACATGAATTCATATGAATTTATATTTATGCATACGCCTTTTAAACTCAAATATTAACTGTGATTATAGCAAATAAATATCCTCGAAATCGCCTTAAAACAAAATCTTCAAATGATTCCGTATACTCGTAACTACTTAAAAATACTATTGAAATTATTTTAATTTTTCAAAAAAAGATTATATATTTTGTAAATGTTTTATATTAAAAGAGATTAATTATAATAGTTTTCCATAGCTTCTTTAATTTTCATGAACAAATTAAGAAATTTACAAATTTTAACTAGTGCATGAATAATAAAGGAGTGTAATATGGGGTGAACGAGTCGTTAATGTTTATGCAGTATATGAAAATTTTTAACAGTTAATTGTATAACTCTTTAGGTACTGTTTACATATAAGACTTTCATCAGACCCAAATTAAATCTTAGATTTTGTCGTACAATGTAAACAATTACTTATACTTTATTATAAGGATCTCTCCTTAGTATAAATAAATAATCACAAACACAAATTACAAAATAAATCATTTAATATAATGAAAAGATAAGTGCTTTAAAATTTATTTTCTCTATTGAGTTTCTTAATCTATAAGAAAACATAAATCTTAACATTGTGGTCAATTTACTATTTGCAAATTATTTAATATAGTAAAGTTTACATTTTCTTAGATTGACATTGTGAATTTGTGTGTAAAATTTATAAGAAAGTTGTTGAATAATTAGAAATATGCATTTATTTCCTATGTGAAGGAGTCTGAATGCACAATTGCAAATTGTTAAAAATATGGTGATTCCGAGAATTTGCATGCAGTTATGTCCTATAATACATAAACACTAGTACAGATGATAAAACTCTTATGCTATTCCTAACAGCATGAAACGTGTTTGCTCAAAAATTACGTACGCATATAGAAAAAAGTGTGATGAAGCTTTAGGTTCCTTAATGTTTTACAGAACTCACTAGAACACAAAGTTTTAGTTGATTTGATTTCTGTGATCGCAACAAAAGGATCTGATAGAAAAATTGCTATTAATATAAAGTGCTTAACATAGTTCGGTTTATTGTAAATGTAAAAATTAGAAGAGGTAAATTTTTAATAAATTTGGAAATTCAATTTATTGGGGAGCTATTTTGGAATCAGAAATTTATACTTATAAAAAGCTTCTTTAACTCTTAAAGTTCAGTTAGAAAACGCGTTTTTGAAGAATTTCAAAATGTTTAGTTTATATAGAATCACAAAGTGAATATGATAATTGAAACATAATTAGAACCATGCGGTACGTTATTTCGAGCATTAGTTGCCATATAGCTTACATTTACATAAAAATGCAACTGTCAAATGCAAGGAGCTGTACACAAAAAACAAATTGAACAAGTGGAGTTGTTAAGCAGTCTATATACATTTACGTAAATATGTTAACGGTAAGTAGTAATAATTGAGCTTAAGGGATTATTAATTTACAAAATATATTGAGGAGACCTTAAGTTAAATTTAAAAAAAAAAATAATAATAAGAATGACAAAATGTATAGAATTTTTCAACCCATTACTTATGATCAATCATTACTTACGTCTATCTATAATAATTAACAAAGTGTTGTCAAATAAGAAAATTAAATAAATCGTATATTGCCGATTTCTATATTAAAATGTAATTGAAAAGGATATAATTACAATTATGGACTTGGATTTCTTAAAAATAAAATCAAATACCTTCACTTTTATTTAAAATATAAAATCTTTTAACATTCATTTTGTATAATTAACAAATGAAATAAATAGAATTACGTATACATACGTGTATACAAGGTGTTTCGAATAAGGTGATTAGATAATTTCAGGAATGATTCTTTGATAAATTTGCAGCAAAAAATTGTATGGGGGTGGGAAGGTGAATGGGGGGGAGGTGCAGATATGCTCATTTTCGAGCTACAGTATGTTGAGAAAAAAGATATCAGATTTTTCTTGCATATAAAAAAATGCTTGTAATTTCGGAACAATGCGACAAAGAGTAACCATCGAGAGCCTGTTTTACAGGTGATTGATTGTTTTTTAATTTCTGTCTTACAAATCATATGATTTAAGCCATAGTTTTCGAGATAAACCTCGTCAAAGTCAGATTTTTTTTTTTAAAAATCAAAATTTCTCAAAATTTTTTTTGACGTCGATGCACGTCGATGCATTACGACGAGAGCTGAAGCTTAACTCATATAACATTTTCCTATATCTCTCTTAGTTTTGCAAATAAAACGTG